CTTTCCCTCCTGCTGCTAGAGATTGGTAGACTGGTTTTTTGTTTGTTTGTTTTTTGAAAGCAACAAAACTAAAGCCACAGCCGTTTTCCATGGACATGGGCTTTATTTGGGGACTGTTGGGGGAAGAGAGGAAGGAGCTAGGACTGGTGGGTATATGGGAGGAGGGGCTTCTCAATTTGCTTTTTAATTTAGTGCATTTTGCCTGGAGGTTAGGATGAGTGAGAACAGCTCTAGAAGTGAGAGGACAGGAAGTAGAAAGTCGTGGAGTGGACACGTTTCTTAGGGAAGAAAGCTAGGACCAGGATATGGGGTCTGGGGTAGGGTAGGAAGGCACCCTTCATAGGCTGAGTCTCAACCAAGGTCACCACTCGATGTCAGCTCCCCTGCCCCCCTAACCCACCTCAGCTCCTGGCCCAGATGCTGGCCCTGCTAGCTCCCTCACCTTCCTGTAGAGAGGAGGGGCATGATGATGCAGGGGTTGGTGGCACCCTCTGCCTTTGGGCCCCTCGCCTAGGAGAACTGCTCCCTCAGCCTGCCCTGAAGTCCCAGCCAGAGTCAAGAGGCCAGGAAGCCAGGGTGCAGGCAGGGGAACGAGTGTGCCCTGCACCACCCCTCCTGCCACTCTGTCCCTCCCCTGCTCCTCACATGAGGTTGCAACTCTTGGCTCGATCCTTGTGTATCTCGCCTTCGTTCCCGTTCCCCCGGTCTGGCCGTCCCGCCAGCTGAGCAGATCGCTGCAGTCCCCGGCGTGAGTCAGTACGACGCAGCTGCCTATGACCACGGCCAAGGGAGGCCACTGTGGCCACGTGGAAGACATCCCTGACGCTGCGCTCGGAGGACCGGGAGGAGCACTCCACGTAGGACACGGCCCCCACCTGCTTGGCCAGCACAGTGCCCTGGATGGGTGGAGTAGATGAAGAAAGTTATGAGGAGTAGCCTGCAGCTCAGAAAGGTGTGGGGGGGGGGCAGTCAAGGCATCAGGTCAGAGGCCAGAGGCTAGGACAAGGGGTAAACAATATAGGGCATCTTCAAATCCGAAGTGGGAGAGCTAGGCTGGGATGAGGTCAAAGGTCAAGGGTCCCACCTGCTCATGTGTAACAGGAATAAGCCTCTGCTTGGACAGCTCCCTTAATGTGGTCAGGTCGGTCCGCATATCCAACTTACAGCCAACCAGCACAACCTTGGCATTGGGGCAAAACTCCTGAGTCTCCCCTTGCCACTATTTGGGGAAAGAAAACAGAGTTACAGAGGGGTAGAAGGAGGCGCACGATGTACTGTGCTCCACACTAGGAGGCCGCCCTTCCTCACAGCACGCAGACACCAACACCATTCTGCACTGTCCTCCTGTGAGAGAAGGAGGTGGGAATGGTGGGCTTGGGCTGAAAGCAGGGAGCGGGTGTGAGAGAAGGAGCAGGAAGGGAGGGCCCGGGTGGGGCTGTCTGTTCTGTGCCCTGCTTCTCATTCATGGGCCATGAAGAGTCTGCCAGCCTGGAGCTTGGCCATTTCCATCCTCTTTCCCAAATTTGTTCCTGGGAACAGAGCGATTCAGCCCTGCCCTCCCCTCCCCCACTTGGGAACTGGGGCTGCCTTAGCTGACTTCTGTCCTTTCACCACGGGCTTTTATCATGGAAACAGGGGCCTGGAGAGGAGACCACAGGACCTTCCTGAGCTCCAGGAGCAGCATTCTCATCCTGCCCATGGGAGAAGGGGAGGGTGGCTAAGAAATCTCTTGAGTACCTCTCCCTCCTCTCCCCGATACCCCCCAGATGCCCTATCCAGCTCTGAGAACTGATTTCCAGGAAACATGAGAGCTCCGCACACTCTCCAGCTGATGGCTTGTGTTGCATCAGGAACGTCAGGAACGAGGTTTCTTGTCTCCCCGCCTCCCCAGTTTCCTGCCTCCCCAGGCTCCCACCTTCTTGAGGACACTGTCCAGTGTTTCTGGTCGGCTAATGTCGAAGCAGATGAGCACAGCATCTGAATCAGGGTAGGCCAGGGGCCGGACGTTATCGTAGTAAGAGGAACCTGAGGGAAGACAGTGGGGAGAGGGCAGATGAGGGTCCTGAGTGGGGGGAAGGCCTGGAAGGGAATGGGGAGACCTTAGCATTCCTGGCCAAGAGACGCTAGGAGCAGAGAATAGAAAAGAGCAGTTATTAATACCCATTAAGGAGTCTGTTTCTCTGAGGCGGGGGGGGGGGGGAGGTTAGATGGCAGAAAACAGCTCTCTGCTTCCCTAGGGGTTTCTCGAAAAGTAATCATTCAATCTTTTCACAAAAAGATTGAAGGCTCATGAAATCTCTCGACATTCTCACAAAAATTTGCATGTGCTTCCTGGGCTTTGACAGACATCTTGTAATGACCTCTAGGGGACCAGAGTGAAAATAAAAACCCTCCTCCTTTTCGGACAAGGGACAGAGCGCTCTCCCGTCCTCCCGGGACTTGATCTCAAATTTCTATGGTTCAGTCTGGAGAAGTAGTTCCCACACCCAAAGAAATTCTAAATGTCTTTCCGAAGCCCAGTCCAATCTCCTAAAAAACATGTTCCCAAATTAAAAAACAAACATTCTCTCTCAACTTTCCCAAGTAGGCAGAATCCAGCAGAAGGGATTGGATACTGGGCTTTTATCCTTCAGGGCATGGCTTCTACATATGTCAGCAAGCTCTGCCTCAGTTTCCCTGACTTTAAGCAAAAAATGGATTTTCCTTCCGCCTAGAAGTAGATGTATGGGCTGAACTGACCTGAAGCCTAAAGGTCTAGCCACAGGAGGGGTCAGGGTGGGGTCACCCTGGAAGTCAGGGTGACCCCAGAGAGTTGGTTACCTGAAGTGTCCCACATGTTGAGCTCAATGCGGCGCTGGTCTATCTCAAAGCTCGCGGTGTAGTTCTCAAACACGGTGGGGACATAACTCTGCAGACACGGACGGGTCAAGATGAGATCCTCCAGTCTGCACCCCAGATAGATGCCCTCCTCACTCCCACACCCCGTCCAGCCCTGCCCCTGGACACAAGTTGGCTGGTGTTGGGCAAACGGGAGATCCTGGGAGCGGTGCCTCAGGGAATCTGCTAGATTCTCAGACCCTCTTCCAGCCCCTTCAGACCCTAGTTCTTCCCCTCTCCGATGCCCAGGACCTCCGAAACCCCGCGAGCGCCCGCTCTGGGATCCTCTGCTTCCCCCAAACCCCATTCATCTCACCCTGATCCTGACTTCCTCCCATCTCAATCCTCTGCAGTCCTTCCAGAGCCCCCAACACCACCCCATCCATGGTCCTCTGAGCCTCTGTCTCTCGTCCCTGCTCACCCCAGCACCCATTTCTGTCCTTGCCCCAGGCGCCAGTCAGCCAACCCCGCGGCCTCAGCTCCCCCCTGCCAAGACGCGGGTCCCTCACCCCCGGGTAGGCGTCCTTGGCGAACACCTGCAGCAGCGCCGTCTTGCCGCACTCCGCGTCCCCTACCACCACGATCTTGCAGCGGCCGCTCTGGCCCTCCATGGTCCCGGCTACGCGCCGGTCCGCGGCGCAGCCCCCCTCCTGGGTCCTGCTGCTGCCTCCCCCGCCGCTGCAGCTGCAGCCACTCGGGCCGCCGACACCGGCATCTCGCGGGCCCGCGCCGAGCCCCCACCTCGGGCCGCTGCCCCCTTCTGCCCCGCCCCCAGCCCGGCGGCCGCGCCCCTGGCCCCGCCTCCCGCCCGCGCGCCCGAGAGGCGGGGCTCAGGGGAGCTGGGGGGGGGGATGGGGGACCCCCAGAAACCAAGGCCTGAGAGCAAGGTTTTAGTGCGCTTTTGTGATCCAAGGGGCCCCTGCCGCTTTGGGGCAGGCCGAGTCGGGCTATTCGTCCGATTTGACTTCCTTGCGGATGGGGGCGGGGGGAGCTTGGGCGAAGTTCTGAAGGGTAGGGTGGGATCAGCAAGAGCCCGCAGCTCAGGCCTTTTGCTTGCTCAAGCGGGCACGCTGTTGTGCTAGTGCGGACACGCGCGGGGACAACCATCGACTTCCTTAGCAGGAGGGGCACGAGATGTAGAAGGAGGAGGGAGCCTTTCGGGTTCTGTCTCCTTCCTCCATGCTCATGTCCCGGCAGGGAGTCTTGGGGTTAGGAGGGTCCAGACTCCCAATACACCCACCAGGAAAGTGGTGACGTCAGGGCTTTCCGTCCCCATGGCAACGGATGGCCTAGTCTGGGGCTATCTTGACTTACTGCGGGTCTGGACTAGCGGGGAGGCAAGAATGAGTTTCTCCAGCTAAGAGCAGGGTGAAAAGTTTTGGGGGAGCTGCGTCCTCTGGTGGATACTATGGGGAGACGAAGTTGGGGAGTGAAGAAGAGGCAGATCCAGTTGCCCAGAGTCACAGCCCTGCAGATCCAGTTGCCCAGAGTCACAGCCAGAGACAAGCTCTGTCATTTCAGGCTTGATCGGAATCTAACAATAATCGAGCCGCTGTTTGCGTTTATATGACATCTTTTACCTTTTAAAAGCTCGTCTTTGAATCGAGGATACTCGATTTAATTTTATCTTTACCCTTTACCAAGCAACATTTTCACCATTTTACAGAAGAGAAAATTGAGAGACTGCTTTAACAAACAAAATCAAATGGAAAGTGTTAACGACTCAATCTCCCTGCTCCAAGTTTGCCAGTGCTAGAGACCACACGAAACAGGTCACAAATGGGTACAGTCAGGGTCTGAGGAACAACTTAGTTGGGTTCCGGTCCACAAGTGGCTGGCTCCCCAAATCTGATGTCTGTTCAGGTTTTAGGGTCGTCCTTCAGACTGCTCCTTAACATCTTTTTAAATTGCATAAGAGTTATTATGAATGAGTAAGTGAATTAAATCGCGATCTACATGACTCCACGAATGCCCTCGCATGTATTTGTCCGCAGTCAACCCTCATCTCCACTTTTCTCGTGCCCGCAGCACCGGTACTGTGGCCCTGGCCCTTTAAGGGGCCGCGCGAGGCCCCGCCCCCGAGCCCGCCCCCCGCCCTACGGCTCTGAGTCCGCAGCCGCAGCTCCTCTCGGCGCGCGCCCCGCCCTCCGCAGCTGTGCACACTCGGTCCAGCTGTGAGCGAAGGTCCGGAGTCCCAGCCATGTCCGCGGAGAGAGAGGTAGCAGAGGTGGCCACTGTTGTGGCGACAGCCGAGGCAGGGTCTGCGGAAGATTCGTCTTCCCAGCCCCCGGATGCCGAAGCAGCTGGCGACGCCCAGCCACCTACGGCCTCGGAGGGGGCCGCCGCTCCTTCGCAGCCCCCGCTGCGCTGCCTAGTGCTCACTGGCTTCGGCGGCTACGACAAGGTGAAGCTACAGAGCCGGCCGGCCGCGCCCCCGGCCCCTGGCCCCGGCCAATTGACGCTGCGCGTCCGGGCCTGTGGGCTCAACTTTGCAGACCTTATGGCCCGGCAGGGGCTGTATGACCGGCTGCCGCCTCTGCCCCTTACCCCGGGCATGGAGGGAGCAGGAGTCGTGATCGCGGTGGGCGAGGGAGTCGATGACCGTAAGGTGAGCGGACCAGCCCAAAGCAGGACTGCGCGGGCCACTGGGTGGTGCGGCAGGAGTGGGCGGGCGCCGGGGGTGTGGCAGGGCAGGGGAAACTGGCACGGACCCGGACTGGGTAGACCAGCATGGAAGGAGTAGTGAGAAAGGAGCCTGGGTTCTGAGGCTAGTGGAGAACTGAATCTGTATTTGCGGGTGGGAGGGTGGAGACGGAATTATCGTCCCCTTCCCAACCATTTTTAACTGTGGCCGCCGCCCAGAAGCGGCAGTGGAGGTAGTGGGTGTGTGGGGGGAAAACAATAAGGCGCCCACGCGCATGCGCGCAATGACCTTCCACCCCCCCCACCACCACCACCCCGGCTCCCCACGCTCAATCCCCTACGACAGCACACCTGTACCCCTGCCAACCAAACACTCCCCGGGTAATTGTGGTCTGTGACCCTAAATGACGGTTGGTGCCTCGTTCCTCAAGGGAGCTGGAGGAGCTGTGTAGTCGGAGTTGGGCGGGGGCACGTGGCTGTGCCAGAACCCTAAGTCACATGCAGCCCCGTGGTCTGTGGGTGTGTGAGACGGCCCCTCCCAGAGCGGGGCCAAAAGAATGAGGCACTCCCATCATGGAATAGAGGGAGCCTGCCACCACCGGTCCACTTGGCCTTAGGCTGCCAGTCTGATTTTGGTGGTGGCCGGGGTGAGGTAGAGGGACAGAGTCGAGATTGGGTCTCTGGATCTTTGTTTTGGACTCTGTCTCCGGTGATTGCAATCTCTTCTACTCCATGACTCAGCCACCAAGTCACGACCCTCATGGCTGCCCTGGGAACACGGCCGGGTGGGCAATACCTGCCTCCCCCTTCCTTGTGGAGGACCCTCAGAAACCTCTGCGGTGCCCATTTGGACTGGGGTGGGAGGTGTGGCACCGGCAGCAGGTTGGCCCAGCTCTGCCGGTCTCTTTCTCCTTTTCGTTTATCATTGATCTTGGCTACAACCCTGGACACCTGAGAGTTCCAAATGACCAACTTTTTCAGAGATCTGGGGTGAGCCTTTGCACGTCGTTTGTTTAGGGCCCTGCAAGAGAGGCCTCTCAGGTGCCGCAGCGTTCTCTTGCCAGACCTGCCAGTCCTAGATCCCAGAGCTGGAATTCTTGGGTTTATTGTGCATGCAGACATCTCTTCTTTAAAGGGAAGCATTCAGCTGTGGCCCCACCCTTTCCAGTGATTTCTAAGTAATCCACTCTTGAGAAGGTGCTACAAGGAATTTTTTTTTTTCAGTGGAGGGGAGTCATAGGTCATGCTGATGCTGAAGGCCACCCACCTAACTCCCCTCCCCACACTTTCCACTTGGTAAATACAGGATATCCTGTCCAAGGCAAGAATCTGATTGTAAGAGGCCGCATTCTGTGGGGAGAGCCCGCCCTGCCTCCTGATATCAGGGCTGACCCTGCTCTGTGATGGGCTGAGGGGTGGACATTTAGTCTGGGTAAGCGGGGAGCCCAGTTCTGGGCCAGGTCTGTGACTGGCTACCACCCGATCTGACCACTGCACTTTTCCCAGTCCTTCAGGGTGACTTCGGAATCTGTTAGCCTTGAGTCTTGGGGTGGACTGCTTCCATTCCCCGCAACCTCATCGCAGATCAGGGCAGGCTGGGATGAGGGAAAGATCCCAGCCTGCCCTCAGTCCTCCTCATTGATGGAATGCGAGGCCTTGAGGACATGAAAAAGGATGTGTGTGGGAGTCCCAGCCTCCTTCCCTGCAGATCCCAAGTCTAATTAATATACAGAATTCCCATCATTCCTGGCAGGGACTAAGACAGACCTGGGTTGTCCCAGAACAACTCTTCAGAGAGCGGGGAGAGGCCTTCTTTTCCCCTGAGAATGCCCAGACAAGGGTTCTGTTTTCTTTGCCCTCTTTCTTCCTGAAAGGGGGCTCTCCTGCAGGTGGCTAAGAGGGAGGAAAATACCTTTTCCTGGTGGGAGGGGTGATGTGGCTCTCCTTGTCCCTCCCCCCACCTCGGGGTGAAAGTGGGCCCCCAGAGCTGACTCAGACACTTTGCCTGAGGTGACCACACCCAGCCCTAACTCCTCTGAGATCTTTACCTGTGCTGAGACTTGGCCCTGATCACATTCTCCCTCTTCCTTCAGTTACTGGATTGGTGACCTCCCCTCCTAGCTACTGTTCCTGTCTTTATTATTGTCATTATTATTAGCTGACACTACTAAGTATCTACTATGTGGCCCACATTTGGCCAAAAAAAAGTCACTAAATGATTTTTTGTTGTTTAACCCTCACATCTGCCCTATTTTACAGATAGGAAAACTGGGGCTCAAAAAAGTTAAGTAATTATTTATTTGGCCAAAGTCACATCACCAGTAAATAGTGGGGCCTTTTTTTTTTTTTTTAACAGAAGCAGTTTGATCTCTTTAACAATACATCTACGCCCTAACTGTAAGCTTCTCATAGCAGGGACCTTACACAATAGTGAAGTCTAAGATCTGTTAGGTGGAGTTAAGGATAGTATCTACCTCAAAGAGCTGGTGTGAGGATTAAATGTTTATATGTGAAGCACTTACAGTAGGGCCTGGACCTTGGTAAGCACTCAATAAAGGTAAGTTATACCTTTATTGCTGCTGCTGCTTCTTCTGCTACTTCATTCCTAGGAAGAGGGCCTTGTACGTAACAAAATCATAAACTGCCAGTGGGTGAATGAATGAGTGACCGAATCACGTTCCTCTTTCATTCTTCAAGGTAGGGGACCGGGTGATGGTGTTGAACCGGTCGGGCATGTGGCAGGAGGAGGTGACTCTTTCCTCGGCCCAGACCTTCCTGATGCCTGAGGCCATGACCTTTGAGGAAGCTGCAGCCTTGCTGGTCAATTACATCACAGCATACATGGTCCTCTTTGATTTTGGCAACCTGCGGCCTGGCCACAGCGTCTTGGTACACATGGCTGCAGGTAACGGGCCCCTTCCCTTAGCCCTGCTCCTTACCCCTCCGGGATGTTCTTCTAGGCCCCTTCTCTGCAGCATGTCTGGTCTGTTGTCATGGGAACAGGGGCTGCCTTGGCCTATGGCGCCAAGGCCTCTGCAGTATTGTTGCTGTGGTAACATTCAGGCACCAGGTCCAGGCTGGTGTGCTATCCATAGCAACGTGCCCTCACCCAGAGCCCCTTCCGAGTCAGCCACCCTTCCCCCAATTCTCAACCACAGAAATTGGACATAAGATGAGGGCAGAAAGCCTCCAAGTGAACCCAGGCAAAATGAGGGTGACGGGCTCAGTTCTTGAGAGGCAAGACTGGAGAGTGGTGGCTGGGGGACTCGGTAGCCCTTCCTTATGAAATGTCTCATTGCAGGGGGTGTGGGTTTGGCTGCCCTGCAGCTGTGCCGGACGGTGGAGAATGTGACGGTGTTCGGAACGGCCTCGGCCAGCAAGCACGAGGTGCTGAAGGAGAATGGAGTCACACACCCCATTGACTACCACACGACAGACTATGTGGATGAGATCAAGAAGATCTCCCCCAAAGGTGGGGTCAGGGCAGGGGATGGCATGGGCCAGAGAGGGGGTTTCCAGACTAGGGGATTCTAATGCTGTTCTTGGGCCCCCTTATTCCGTGACAGGTGTGGACATTGTCATGGACCCTCTGGGTGGGTCAGATACTGCCAAGGGCTACAACCTCCTCAAACCCATGGGCAAATTGATCACCTACGGTGAGTCAGTGGCAGGGAGGAAGAGGGGGAGTTCGGGGAAGCAGGGCTTGTGGGTGAAAAAGGGGCAGCCTGGCCCTGGCTGGTGTGGCTCAGTGGATTGAGCATGGGCCGGTGAACCAAAGGGTCGCAGGTTCAATTCCTAGGCTAGGTCACACGCCTGGATTGTGGGCCAGGCCCCCGGCAGGGGGTGTGCCAGAGGCAACCACACATTGATGTTTCCCTCCCTTCCCTCCCCTCTCTAAAATAAATAAATAAATAAACAAACAAACAAACAAACAAACAAATAAATAAAATCTTCTAATAAAGGGAGGTTGGCAGCCTGGACGTTGCATTCAGATCGCTGTCATTTTCCTTCACAACCTTTCATGTGAACCATAGTAAATTCTGTGTTCTTTCTGGGCTCCTGTTTGGGGATTATTCCCAATGCAGTATCACCTGGTCTGCCTTCCTCTGTCTCACCCTCCTGGGCTTCTTGGGCAAGCTGCATTTCCATTTTAAAAATGAGTTTCATACATCTGAAACGAATACAAAATAATATTGAATATAAACCGTAATAGAAAAAAATGTCAAATATCTATTTTACATACATGAAAATAAATATGTAAAGATTAGGACCACTTTCAAGTTAGCTGGAGTCTTGTTGGGCCCGGTTGCCTGCAGGCGGGGGGTTACCCTGGCACTCCCCGACACGGTGCGGATGGTTGTAAGGGGCCCCTCGGGGGCTGACGAACATGCATCCAGACACGCAGGGATGTGCCTGGCACCTGGATTCACGGGCCGCCCCTCCTTGTCTCTCAGGAATGGCCAACCTGCTGACAGGCCCCAAGCGGAACCTGATGGCCCTGGCACGCACGTGGTGGAACCAGTTCAGCGTGACGGCCCTGCAGCTGCTGCCGGCCAACCGGGCGGTGTGTGGCTTCCACCTGGGCTACCTGGACGGCGAGGTGGAGCTGGTCAATGGTGTGGTGGCCCGCCTCCTGGCTCTGTACAACCAGGGCCGCATCAAACCCCACATTGACTCTGTGTGGCCCTTCGAAAAGGTGAGTGTCTCGGCTGTGGTGGCTGTGCTGAGAGGGCCTGGGCAGGGCTCTGGGAGGCTGGGGTCCTAGGGGTGGGGGTCCTGGGAGGAGGAGGAGAGCCTCCTCCTTTAGGCTGGCTCTCGGGACGGGGGGAGGGGTGCTGGATAGCACTGGGAGCAGGGTCTTGTCTTCTTCTTCAGGTGGCGGATGCCATGAAGCAGATGCAGGAGAAGAAAAATGTGGGCAAAGTCCTTTTGGTACCTGGGCCAGAGAAAGAGAACTAGGGCGGGGCTGGGGGAAATCTTGGGACCCGGGAAGAGAGAAGCTGGGAAGCCATTTACGTGGACCGCCAGACCCTCTGAATTTCGTCGTGTGTCGTAATGCTCTGCTCTCTCGCCCCAAGGTCCCCGTGGTGATGACCTCTCCCCTGCCCTACTCTTTCTCTGTAACCAAGGCTGCCCCCTCCCTCCTTCCTGCCTTCTGAAGAGAGTGGGAAGTGACCACTTGGATGTCTGGGCCCTGCCAAGGGGACAGGGAGGGTCAGAGGGAGACCGGCTGCTTCCTGCCCCCACCCTTTCCCCGGGCCTGTTGTGCTGCTTTCGTGCCAAGGCTAGCCAATCCCTTCCCGTCCTGTTCTGCGTGCTTCCGCCTCCCCCTCCTCTCCCGCCCCCGCCCCACTGCCTCCCCAAAGAATTGAAATGTCAGCTCAGGATATGGGGCCAATCTGTGTGAGTCCAGCATGTCCCTGTTTCGCCCTACTGTCCCTTCAACCCCAGGCCGACCAGTGCCCACCTGTGACCCCCTTGCCTCATTGCACGGCCTCGTCCTCTTGTCCCCAACTTCTTAAGCACAATTGGGCTTCTTCCACCTCCAGGTTTGCTGCCACTCTTAACCAAGGTTGCCTCTTACAACGAGGGCAGGAATCACACCTGCTCCCCCAGGGAGGGATGCAGAGCCCCCCGCCTTCACTGAGTTCTTTGGATTTGTTCTCAGTGCCTTAGCAATGGAAAACCTGTGCTTGTGTGTGTAGGGGGTCCCTGTCTAACACCTCCTTCTCCACCCCGGTACTCCCCAGTGCCTTTCTTGTTCGGGTGGAGCTGGGGTTTTGCTGCTCCCCAGTCCCACGACACTGCCAAAAATCTGTGTGTGTGCCAGGGTCGGGGGTTGGGGGCAGGGAGGGGGCAGCCCCTCGCCTCCTGGGTTCTGTGCCATGTCCTGTCTGTCTCTGAGGCTGTCATTTCTCTATCAGTAGTTGAAGAGAAAGAGGCGGGGAAGTTTTCTCAGTCTTGCTGATAAGTGTGGCATTTACCGCCAGAGCCCTGGGAGGCAATGCTATTTTTTGTTCTGGGACCAAAGCAAAAATTAAAGCACATCCCCATTCGGTCGCGGGAGGCTCCCCACCCCCTGCCTTCTTGGAGCAGGGAGGCACCTTTTCCAACTCAGCCCCAAACTTTGTTTACATGGGTGGGGAAATGGAGCAGGGGAGTGAAACTGCAGGATGTGGGTGCGGGGTTAGGACCTGGGCCGCTAGAACCAAAGCGGGGACTTCTCGGGTAGGGGTGTCACTCCCTCTGCTCTCTAAGCTGGAATTAAGAAGGGTTACTGCCCCAGCCATTGCCAATGGGAGGTGGTGGGGAGGGCTCAGCCTCTTCATTGTCTAAGTGAGGCCTACATGATGTGAAGTGCGACTTCTGCTTCTGTGTACCCCACCCCGTTACCGAAGCTGCCTTTGTGTTTGTGTCAATAAAAGCCAAACCCTGTTTGTTCCTGGATGCTGCCTTTTAAGAGTGGAGGGGAAGGTGAGCTGATGAAAGACCGGTGCTGATGGTGGAGAGTTAGGGTTTCTGCCCTTTTCCCCCCGCAGCCCCCTTCCATGTCCAAATCAAGTTTCCTTTCATGAAATAAAATGAGGAAGAAGATCATACCATGCAGAGACTTTTACTGTTCTGGGGCTGCATTTCGCAACCCGGAGTCCCTGCCCACTGTTGACTGGTGCCCCCCTGCCCCAGCCCAGTCTGAGGAGGGCAGGCTCCTAGCCTGACTCCACAGCAGTGAAGAGCGCCAGTCTTCGCTGTCCCGGGGGCACGACTGTCAGGGCCTCCACCTCCCCTCCCCCACGGGTGGGTTTCTGGAAGTGGATCTCCAGGAGGTCATGCAGCTCTGGGCCTTCCAGGACATCGGGAATGTTGAGTACCAGCACTGACTGGGGCACTGGCTGGGACCTGACCTGGAAGAGGAGTTGGGAGATGAGCAAAGGCTCCTGAGGGTCAGGGGCCAGGGACAGAGGGGAGCAAGCAATGCCCATGGGAGCATAGGGTGGGGCAGGAAGCCTGGAGGGCTGGCAGTTGGTAGGTCAGTGGGGTTTGGGGGGCTCATATTCTTCTCTGGGCAAGCTGCTGGCAGGCAGGCAGGTCGCATGGCCCAAACTCCACCTTCCGACTTACCTCTGCCTTCTGAATCTCTCCAGTAATGTAGGGAGAGACTTTCAGAGGGAGCTGCTGCCCAGCCAGTGGCACTGTGAACTGGCCAATCCGGCACAGGTTCTGGGCCACTGCAGGGACAGGAAGGGGTAGACCTTTAGCATCAAGGGCCTTCTTCCTCCAGGGCCTGACGCATCTGCTGTAATCTCCCTGGTAGGGCCCTTACCTTCATCCTTAGCAAACCCCAGCACGACGACCCCACCATGCAGCAGTTCCCGAGTTTCCACGTCTCCACCCCCATTCTTGGTCTTGCCGAAGAAGATCTCCAGCTTGTCAAGCAGCTCCTCCTCGCTCAGCTTGAGCCCAGGAGGAAACCCGCTGACCAGCACCCTCTGGCTACTCATCTGGCTGGACACCTAGGAATACACAAGTAGGAATGGTCCTAGGCACACCCCTACTCCTCAGTACCCAGGTGCATGTCACCCCCTGCATGTCCCAGGACTCTGCCATTCGGTCACCTGGATGGCTGTCACCATGGGCAGCTCCAAGGGCTGGACCTGCACCCGCAGCCGGCACTGTTCCAGGTCGATCTTATGCTCCTTTAGCTGTAGCACCTGTTCGGCCACTGGGTGGAAGGAGCAGGATCAGAACTGAGAAGCCTCCCCACCTCCCTCCCAGTGCTTCCCAGAGAGCTCACCACTGGGGTCATCGAAGGTGACCAGAGCTGAGCCCCCAGGCAGAGGGTAGCAGATCTTCAGGTTGGAAATCAGAGACGTGGGCATCTCCCTGCCCTGCTGAGTGTGTCTTCGGAACACCAGGGAGACTTCAGGCTTTGGGAATGGGACCTGGAGATGGGGGAGGGGAGGCCAATGCAGCCTTCAAGGGTGTGAGAGTTCCCCACTGCCTCCAAGGAAGAAAGCATTTCCAGTTCCATGTGACTGATACTAGTATAAGGGGTGAATACATTTACTGGGTGCAAGGGAAGAGCTGGATAAGTGAGCGGATGAAAGCAGGTCAAGCCTGTTCTGGCACTTTGTATACAAGATCTTAGTTTGTCTTTGCACAAGGCTGTGAGGGAGGCAGCTCCACTTTACAGATGAAGAAACAGATTCAGAGAGTTCAAGTAACATACTCAAAGTCACACAGCAAGAAGTGGCCAAGCCAGGAACGAAACTAAGAATTTTTCAGCTTTTTCTACCAGGCTACACCCCTTCTCCCAGCTTACCTTGTTTTGGGGGCTGTTCCGGAGCTCCTCCTTCAGCTTCAGCAGCTGCTGCAGCTTCATCTTTAGTCTGGTCTGCTCCTTCTGGATGGTGTAGAATAGACTCCCTCTGTAGGCTGCCTATCAAAGGAGAGGGGAACAACCAAATATCCATTGGCCTTCCTGGACAATGAATGAGCCCAGGGATGGGGGTGCCTCTTCTGGATACTCCAGGATCAGAGTTGATGCTCAGCCCAAGAACAACCCAACCCCTTTACTGGGCCCTGAGCTGGTCCTGGTCCGCCTGACTCAGAATTTGGTGGCCTCAGCCACCCTCTGAAGGGCGGGAGCCTTTGTAGCAGCCATGGTGTAGACATGGTTTGTTATGGAGACCTAGAGTTTAACACACTGATGGAGCTCTTGCTGTGAGGTCCTGGACACTGACACAGGACACATGGGAAGGGCCTAGCCTACAGGCCTGTGCAAAACTGCCCAAGACTGTGCACAGTCACACAACTGGTTGTGGAGGACAGCGGGAGATGGGAAGAGGGACGGTCACAAAGGGGTTAATTCAGCCAGTGAGGCCTCTGGAGGAGCAGCGAGTGCTTAGAATTGCGAGATGTCATAATACTATTAGCTAACATGGATTAAGCACTAGCATGTCCTGCATTGTGCTAAGCCATTTTTTTTTTATTAGAAATTTTTTTCCGGCCCTGACTGGTGTGGCTCAGTGGATTGAGTGCCAGCCTATGAACCAAAAGGTCACTGGTTCAGTTCCTGGTCAGGGCATGTGCCTGGGTTGTGGGCCAGGACCCTCGTGGTGGGTGTGCAAGAGGCGGCGGATTGATCATACATCTCTGTTTCTCTTCCTTTCTTTCTTTCTCCCTTCCCCTCTCTCTAAAAATACATAAATAAAATCTTTAAATTTTTTTTTGAATTATAGGAGAAACTTTATTTAGAAAGCTATAGATGCAGTAGGAGTGAGCTGGCTGGGTGGCATAGACTCAGGAAACAAGTTACAGAGGCCGAATTAAGGCCATGGAGCTCAGGAGAGAGAAGGGCAAAAGTAACACCCAGAGGTGAAGAACAGAGGGACAGAAAGGCGCATGCGTGCTCCCAAGAGGGAACACACCTGTGCTAAGCCATTTATATGGGTTATATCATTCAGTTCTTCCAACAACCCTATAGGATAAATACCCTCTTATCCTTATTTTACAGATGAGGAAACCGAAACTCAGAGAGGTTAAGTGACTTGCCAGAAGTAATTCAATCCTAAGCAGTCTGGCTCCTTGCTGCAAATTTGTTCTCTACAATGAAGAAATGAAACCCAGAGTTGGGGAGCAATTTACCCCACACCTCCCAGCTTGTCCCTTAACGGCCACCCTTTCCGTTGTTCCACGCAGCCTTTCAGGATGGGAGTGATTTGCAGCAGGGAGAGAGAGAGAGCGAGAGTGAGCGCTGACAACCAGCACTGACAACATGGGCCGGGGAACGACACCAAGGATGCGGATAAATGCACCTTTGTTTGTGGGTTGGAGCAGACATTAGCTGGCAGAGTTCACCCTGCAGTTGGGAAGCCTGGTAAATAAGGTCAACCCAGAGTCTACGTGTGAACTCACTTAGGGAGACAGGCCTCTGTCCTGGTCCTCTCTGTGTCGCCAGTGCTCTGTAGAGTCCCTGGCACAAAACAAGCTTTGGGCAAATGTGTGTTGAATGAATGAAGTGAATAAATAATAGGATGGAAACATATAACAGAGGGCATTGAAGACATTCAGTGAATTCACTTTGTTTTAAGCAGAGAAAAACTAGGGCTTGAATAATGCTGGTTTATGACTCGTGAGAAATGTACCGCATTCTTTACATTTCTGTAAACAAGGGATTGCACACGTGATACCTTTAAGGGCCAATCAGGTGACATCAGCCAGTGGAGGGAGCCAGGGTAGGGTGGTAGGGAGTGGTGGGCACTCTGACCTGGGAGAGCATGTCCCTGCTAAAGTGGCAACCTCTTAGCTCTACCTGAGATTTTCTACGTGGGAATGAGGTCCCAGTGTCCCTTATCTTCTGGTTTTTAAGGAAAACCGGAAATCTGGACTTTTATTTGAAAAATATGGCTCCACGTTTAAAAAAATATATGAAAAATGAAATATATTAGTGAGCTGGATTCAGTCCACAGTCTAACCTTTTTACTCCTACTTTAAATCTTTTTTTATTAAAATATTTTATTTATTTATTTTCAGAGAGAAGGGAAGGGAGGGAGAAAGAGAAGGAGAGAAACATTGATGTGCAAAAGAACCACTGATTGGATCTCGCATGTGCCCCCCCCCCCCCCCCCCCCCTGCAACCCAGATATGTGCCCTGATGGAATCAAACCAGCAACCTTGTGCGGTTCACAGGATGATGCCCAACCCGCTGAGCCACACCAGTCAGGGCGGGCTTTAAATCGTGATCTAATGACACATAATTGGAAATCTGGTAGTTGGCAATGCTATTTAATGAGTGGCTTAATAAAAATATATAGTAGCTTCATAGATAGAGTATTTTACAGAAAAATTCAATCCGGAGAGTTTAGATGTAATACCAGCAGGAAATGGGGAGTAGGGGAGATTTCCGAAAGGAGGAGTGAGGTGCAGGATGTGCTGTTGAGACGAGGCCCAGAGGGAACTGGGGCAGGGAGCTGTGGAGTGAGGGACGCAAGCGCGCGCTCCCCATCTCCAGTTTCCACTGACCCGACAGGAGCTGACCTGGGGCTCCCTCAGGAGGCACAAAGGAGCATGTGGGTGAGTCCGCTTCATGAGATAAAGCCTCCCAACTCTGTGGGTGTCTGCATTAAGGAGACAGAGGGGAATGACCGGGACAGACGATGCCAGGTGGCAGACCTTGGCATCCCCGAGTGTGGTAAACGCCACTGACGCAGCGGGCCAAGAAAGAGCCAGGCCTGCTAAGTGCAGGGCAGAGGTGGGCACCAGGTCATTTAACTATCACACAACTGCCTCCCTTCTCCAACTCCCAACTGACACTTGTCTCTTCCAGGACCCTCTTAACGACAACACAGGCCAATTGTAGTCACTTGAATTCAACTATACAGGCTATTTATTTACACAACAAGATAGCATGGTCTCTAAATGCAAGCCACTGTCCATCTGAAGCTCAGCTGAAACAAACTGCAGTCCACTCTACACTGAGCTCACTGAGAGACTGTCAGTTCTGGATGCCTTTGGGTTAAGGCCATGATGTAAGGTTACTTTCAACTGCACACATTCATTCTTCGGCCGTAGTTGCTGAGTTTAGACCCTCATTACCGTGTAAGGTAAAATTTCAGGCTATCCACGCTCATCTCATCGTGGGAGTGTTAGGAGGCAGTTTAGCACAATGGTTAGGAGCACAAACTGGGCCCAGCCCGCGGGGGTTTACATCAGCTCCTGTTACTACTGCAATTTTTTTTAACCTCTCTGTGCCTTGGTTTCCTCACCTATAAAACGAGCAGAATAGCTGTTTCCACCTGTATTTAATTTTGTTTGGAAGTAGCACCTGGTGCGTGCGTGCTATGTCACGTGTTTTCTATTTTGATAAACTCCGTTTTATGGACGAGGAACCTGAGATGCATCAAGGTTGACTAATGGGCCAAGGTTAGTCAAACCCAAGGCTACTGAAGTCACAGGGTAGGGACAAGACTTGATGGGTAGGACCCTGGGTTGGAACAGCATGGTCGAAGCCAAGAGGATGGAAGAGCCCTCTGAGGAAAAGAGCCTTAAAAGCGTGCTCTTCCAGGCGACGGGGTCAGGGGTCAGGGGTCAGGAGGGAATGCAGAGAAGAAACAGAAGACATGGTCAGGTGGTCGGAGATGAGCAGCGCCAGGGCCAGGCCTGGGGAGGGGCGAAACGGAGCTGAGAGGAGAGGGCCCCCAGGAGGCCCCTGGCTCACGGTTCACCCGCTTACTCACTCATTCATTCAACGGTTCACATCCGTCATTTGCCAGGTCCTGTCCTAGGCTCTGGGGCCACAGAAGTGAGCAAAACAAATGAACATTCCTTGTGGAGTTTACATTCTAGGGCGTGAGCCAGACAATAAGCAGAATAACTAAGTAAAATGTGTATTATGTTTATGATAAATGCTATGGATAAAAACAAAGCAGGGAAGGGAAGACAGAGAATGTTGGAGGACAGTTTTGAGTGGGGTGATAAGAACAGGCCTCACTGAGATAGCTCAGCATATACTTGAAGGAGGAGGGGGAGCAAGCCATGTGTAAATGTGGGGGGAGTACCATGCAGATGGAACAGCAAGTGCAAAGGCCCTGAGGTGGGAGTTTGTTAGGTGTATTGGGGGGATAGCAGGGAGGGCAGTGTGGCTGGATCTGAGAGAGTGAGGGAGAGGGGTTGGAAATGAACTCACAGAGAAAACGGGGTGGGATCACACAGGGCCTTCTACTTGATGTGACGTGGGAAGCCATAGGCAGGCTTAAGTGTTCCCATGATTCCTTGGCTGTTAACGTCAACAGACTGGTGTGGGCAACTGGTCCAGGCAGGTAGGGAGATCACTTAGGGGGCCGTTGCAGTGTCCAGGTGAGTGATGTTAGTGACCAGGTGGTAGCAGTGGAGGTAGTGAGGGGTAGTAAAGAGTCTATATAAAAAAAAAAAAGTCAAGATAGACTGTAATTGCTGATAGATCGGAAATAGGGTGTGGAAGAGAGAGAAGAGTCTGGGATGACTCTTAAGCTTTTGGACCTGAGCATTTTTTGGAAACTGGAGGGAAGAAGGGCCATTCGCTGAGATGGGAGAGACTGTGGGTCGAAGAGGTTTGGGATAGAAAGTTAGGGGGTTATTTTGCACATGTTCAGTGAAGTGCCTGTTCAACATCTCAGTCAAGACATATAGTGGCAGCTTCTCCTACCAATCTAGCATTCAGGGAAGAGGTTCAGGCTGGGAGGGTAAATGTGGGAAGTATCTATGCAGAGAGGTTTAAAGTCATAAAACTAAACGAGAGCAGCAGGGGTGTGGGTGTAGACAGAAAAAGAGGTCCAAGGGCTGATTTCTGGGGCACCCAACACCAAGAGGTCAGGGGAACAAGAAAGAACCAGCCAAGAAGAATGCAGAGGAGTTGCTAAAGAAACCCGAGAGGAGACATGTGAAGAATGAAGAGAGATTTCAAAGAGGAGGAGGAGCTAGCAACTGGGCCAAGTGCTGTCAACAGGCCGACTAAGATGAAGAATGAGAAAAAAGACCATTGAGACTGAGGAAAAAAAACCCCAACAAACTCTGCTTATCATAAGGAAATGGTCAGAAGTTCATGTACAAAAATTCTTATTATTGTAGCTTTGTTTACAAAAAAAAAGAGAACATGTCCAACCACAGAGGAATAGCCAAATAAATATAAAATACTACATAGCAATGAAAAGATATCAATGAAAAACATTTAGTGGCATGGAAAAATGCCCACAATCAGACAGAGGAGCAAAATATAAAACTGTATGTAGAGTAGGATGCCTAGTCTGTCCATTTAAAAAGTCTTAGTTCAGCCCTGGCTGGTGTGGCTCAGTGGATTGAGTGCTGATCTGTGAACCAAAAGGTCACCAGTTCGATTCCCAATCAGGGCACATGCCTGGGTTGCTGGCAAGGTTCCCCAGTAGGGGGTGTGGGAGAGGCAACTGATCAATGTGTCTTGCACACTGATGGTTCTCTCCCTCTCCTCCCTTTCCCCCTCTCTATAAAAAGTAAATAAGTAAAATCTTTAAAAAAATAAAAAATAACTTTAAATTCATAAGAATATTTATTAATGCATAAAAACTCTGGGAAGACAGACACCAAGATGTTATTAATAAAGGTTGTCTTTCAATAATGAATTTAGTGTGACTAAAACAAAAAAACAGTTTTCCAAACCCACTCTTCTTCTTTCTGTTTAATACAGAAAGGCCCTGTAAAGGGGTGTTAGCAGACAGGTAGCCTGAGGTGGGGTGGATCAGGGTGGTCCTGCCCCCTGGGGGGCAGGTGTGGTTCGGTGGATTGAGTGCCAGCCTGCGAAATGAAAGGTACCCGGTTAGGACACACGCCTGGGTTGTGGGTCAGGTCCCCAACTGGCGGAGTGCAAGAGGCAACTGCTCAATGTTTCTCTCCTCTCCTTCTCCCTCCCTTCCCCTCTCTCTAAAATAAAAATTAAAAAAAAAAAAAAAAAGATGGTCCTGGGGAACAGGGTTCTGAAAAGGGTAGTGATAATATTAACAATAACGAACATGTATTTAGTGCTTTGTATGCGCCAAGCAGCGTTTTTACTGTATTAATTTATGGATTATCTAGTTTAATTCTCGCAGGTAGGTAAGTATTCTTATAAGGAAGCTTTGCTAGAACTCATTTTTTAAACATTTTTAAAATCTTCAACTGAGGATATGTTTATTTATTTGTGTGAGAGAGAGAGGGGAAGAGAGAGAAATAAAGAGAGAGAAACATTGATTGGTTGTTTCCCTGTGCACCCTGGCCACAGATCAAACCTGCAACCTACATATGTGCCCTTATCGGGGATTAAACCACTGACTTTTTGATGTATGAGATGATGCTTCAGCCAACAGAGCCACCTGGCCAGGGCTATAATTCTCATCCTATAGATAAGGAAATGAGGCTTAGATGAGAGCTTTAGAGTGACTAATAATTCATCTAGGGCCACACAGTTGCCGGAACCAGAATTTGGAACCAGGTGGCTGGCTCTAGAGCCTGTAGTCTTTCGTACTACAGTTAAAAGGGCAAATGAAACATTTCTAGGTGAGAGATCAGTGTATTTGTAACAGGGTGCTATCAGGGAAGGAAAGATGAACAAAACTGGAGAGGGGATGAGATTCATTCATCCAACAGCTGTTTATTGAGTGTCTATGCATGCCTGGGACTGTGCGAGGCTCTGAGGATGAACAGGCCAGACCAGGGACCAGTCCTTCCAGAGCTGGGTCTGCATGAGTCCGGCGTCCAGAGGCCAGGAAATGGTGGCATAACAGGCAGGGGAGGTTAGTTCTCAGAGGAGGTACACTTCTTCCTCTGAGCTGGGGGAGGGCACAAGGCTGAGATGCAAGGAGGGGCAGAATTTGTTGGGGAAGATCTCAGGACATAAGAACGTGAGCATTTCTTAACTGTTTAGAATTATCATTAGAGTGATTCTTTTATTTATTTTTTATTGATTTTTAGAGAGAAATATCAATTTGTTGTTCCACTTATTTATGCATTCATGGATTTATCATTTTGTTTTTTCTAAAAAAGATTTTAAAAAATTTATTGATCCCGCATAGAGAAACGTCCATTTGTTGCTCCACCCACCTGTGCGTTCATTGGTTGCCTCTTGTATGTACCCCAAGTGAGGACTGAACCTGAAACCCTGGCGTTTTGGGTTAAAGCTCTAACCGACTAAGCGACCCACCCAGGGCCTACAATTCTTAAAATTATAGGACACAGAGTTCTTTTGAGTATCTAATGAAAACTATGAATTCTCTCTCCAGAAAATGCATTCACACAAGGAATTCATCAGCTTCCGAAGTGCAGGTTATAGAACTGTCTTTGAGGCAATGGGTCGGGGACTAACTCCGCAAGGGAGCGGAAAACCCAGCCAGGTTTCTCCCTCGACTTTCGGCAGCTCTAGCAGGTGGACTGACCACCCAGCCCTGCCAAGAGGAGGGCTCCTCTGCTTCTCCCGACCCCCAACACTGTCCTCCTCACTTACATCATCTTCAGTCACTGACATGGGTCTGGGATCTGGTTGGCAGAGCCGTGTCTTCTGAGCTGGAAACAAAGTGGCAGAATCCACCAGACTAAAGTCTCGCGTCTACCTTCTGAGATGCAGTTCGAATGGCTCTGCCTGCAGGCTCTTTGCTTCCACTTTCATTTCTGATAAATTCCTGCCCTTTCGTGTTCACACGCCCCCAACTGGTTTTTCCCCACCCCTAGGAGGAGCCTTTCTGGTCTCGAGGTCGACTTCGCTCAGCTGGGAGCCTCAGCGGAAGCTACCTTTCGAAATGCAAACTGAATTCCGGCCCCAATCAACCATTCATATCCTGTAGATCCCAGCAGCAGGCCATCGGTAGAATTTTGTCTGCTTTCTTATTTCCTTAGAGCCCAGAATCCTGCCAGGCACATGTAGACACTGATGAAATAATTGAATGACAAATGCAACCAGAACAGATCTCCATCAAGTTCATGAAGCTGTCCTACCTAATTTTTTGAGAGCGGTTTAGTGCCCAGTACTGGTTCTGCTTTGCATGAATTAAACTCAATCTTTATTTCTTTTAATTTTTTTAAATTTTTAAATTTATTTTTTTATTGATTATGCCATTACAGTTGTTCTATTCCCCCCTTCATTCCCCTCCACCCTACCCCCTGTCCCCACCATTACCCCCCCTTTAGTTTATGACCATGTGTCTCGAGTTCTTTAGATTCTGTATTTCCCACACTATTCTTGCCTCCCCCATCTATTTTCTATCTACTGTCTATGCTACTTATTTTCTGTACCTTCTCCGCCCTTCTCCTCCTCCCACTCCCCTGTTGCTAACCCTCCTTGAGATCTTCATTTCTGTTTCCACTCCTGATCTAGCTGTCCTTTTAGTTTGCTTTTGTTTTAGATGTGGTTGTTAATAACTGTGAGTTTGCTGTCCTTTCACTGTTCATGTTTTTTTAACTTCTTTTTCTTAGGTAAGTCCCTTTAACATTTCATATAAGGGCTTGGTGATGATGAACTCCTTGAATTTGATCTTATCTGAGAAGCTTTTTAAATTTTTTAAAAAGATTTTTTAATTTATCTTTAGAGGGGAAGGGGAGAGAGGGAAATATCAATGTATGGTTGCCTCTTGTGCACCCCCTGCTGAGAATTGGCCTGCAACTCAGGCATGTGCCCTGACTGGGAATTGAACAGCAATCCTTTGGTTCGCAGGCCTGCACTCAATCCACTGAGCTACACCAGCCAGGGCTATTTCTTAAATTTTCTTTAAAAAATTTTATTTATAGAGGGGAAAGGAGGGAGAGAGGAAAACATCAGTGTGTGGTTGCCTCTCACATGGTCCCAAAGACTAAATTTAATCTTTAAAACAACCCCTCTTAGTTCTACTTCACTGATTTTACAGATGAGACTCTAAACTTCTGAAGCACATTACTATAAACATCTGCCCAATGTCACATTATAGAAAGTGAAGCATGTATCCAACCCTGGTTGGACATTTGAACTTGCGCTTTGAGGCAGTGAGACTTTTTTTAAGAGATGGGAAGGGAGAGAGGAAAGAAATATCAGTGTGTGAGATACACATTGCCCACCCCCAACTGGGGACCTGGCTTACAACCCTCACACATACCCTGACCAGGAATTGAACTGGTGACCTTTTGGTTTGCAGGCCTGCATTCAATCCACTGAGCCACACCAGCCAGGGCAAGAATTTGAACTTTTGGTCAATGGAGTTTGAATTCCTTTCCATTTGTGACTGAGTAAACAACCTAACAGGAGTTGCCTCAGTAAGAAATGCCCAATAGTTAAAGGCGAGGAGCCAAATCACCTAGTCCAGGGTTTTTACACCAAAAGTAACTTATTGAGCCTTTTTCTCACGGTTCCCCACCCCAGGTAGAAGTGTGCCGAGTGCCTCAGGCTTGGCCAGCAGGCCCCTGGATCCTAGTTTCTAGTGACTTAGAACCAGCTCAGCTGGAGAGCCTATTTCATCTGTAAAACAGGGTCCCAAGTGTCCCATGCCCCTCGAATCATACTTTCCTAGCATTGCCAGTCTCTGCCAGCCAGGATGTTAGGGGACCTGTGCCCGGTCCCACTAGGAACAGCTGCTCTGGGCCTCCGCTCCCCTCCATATGGTCCTCATTGGAGAACCAGTGTTACCAGAGAATGAGCTAGAGATTCTCCACCTAAATCTAAACCACAGGGAGGGACTCTGGCTTGTCAAAGCACCAGTGCAAGGTTTGAGAACCTCAGGTTAGTTCTCGACCCCAGGTAGCCCGTGTCCACCCGCTCAGAGGGGCCTTTGGTTGTCAAAACTGGTTGTGGTGGCAGGTGGCTCAGGTTCTCTAGGTATGAGCTGAAGCCAGGGATGGTGGAAAAGCTCTGCACGTCAATGTGTCAGCAGGGACCCTTCCAGGAAGCAGTGTAGTAGATCACACTTGACCCTTCGAGAGATTCGGACTAGTGCTCGGGCTGACGACCCCACCGGCAGATTTAGCTTTTATATTTCTGTACTTTCCCACAGCCCCTCACTCCCTCCTGCTTCATCTTATGACGTTCTCCTTTCCCAGAGTAATAATACGTGCAACAGGCAGACACAGGGATCCTTTTTTTGATTTTTTTTAATGACAGAAACAAAAAAGATTTAAAACCGCAGCTTCTGGAAGAACCATTTGTTCTTGCCGGTCTTGTACCTAGAGAGGAAAAGAGGTCACCAATGAGAAGAATAAAGAGACAAAATCCCCTTCACGGGAGTTACTGACACCATACCCCCCCACCAAACCCTAACTTACCTCTCTTCGAACTTGACCTTGGCCTCCCGTCGGGCCTTGCGTTTCAGAGCAGGGTCTCTGAAGATGTCCTTGTTGACGACAGTTTTGTCCAAGGGGATATCCACAGAGTATCTGGAGGCAGTGGTGGGGAGGTAGGATCAGCTCATGTGCTACCAGGGCCTTTACACAGTCACCCAAGTCCTCCTGGGACACTGGGGTGCCAGGATCTGACTCCATAAGAGCAGAAATTAAAAGCCATCCCGAAGTCCTGATGACAGTTTTGGAAAATCTCCAATGTCAACAGACTCATTTATATAGACTTAAGCCACTGAAAAAGTTCTCGCTCCATTCTCAATTTTCCCAACTACTCAGTTTCTAGCTAAGAACTGTCACTTTAACACAAGTGTACTTTGTGTGGTGGGTGGCTAGTTCTCTATCTCACTGCAGTCCTGGCCAAGTTCTGCAAGCCAGGCCCCATGCCTGTATTTACTGTGGATGGAAACAAGGGAAATGGATCTTTACTCAAGATTTAGAATTTCCCCCACACTAGATGGTTGCAACGCTGTCTCCTTACTCAGTAAGGCAGAGAGGGGGGTAAACAAACACACACTTTTATTCCCATCCCTGAAATGCTCACCTTGTGGGCATGAGGTGATTGTAGTTATAAACTTTTACAAAAGACTTGATCTTAGACCTCTTGGCGATTTTCTTCTTGCCCATGGCTGCTGTCACTTTGCGGGGATAGCGGTCAATTCCAGCCACCAGAGCGTGGCTGTAAGGGCGGTCTGACGTGCCATCGTCAATGTTCTGAAAGAGCAAGACTGACAGTTGTTATCAGTTCAGCGCCTACCTAGGCCCTGCAGGCACGCCTAGGAGGGTCACCCCCACTCCCAGGTCCGGGAACCCACTACCTTACAGAGGAAAACCACACCTCGCAGACAGTGAAGAGTGGTAGGGTGAGGGCGGTATTCATGCCCACCAGGGAGAACCTTGGAAAGGCTCCCGGGAGGTGAGAGATGTAAAACAACAGTTAACATTTATGGAGTGCTTGCTCTGCGCCAAGCACTGCTTCTTAGGTCTTTACAATCCTAAACGCCCTTCCCCACGGCGGCACTGCTGGAAGCGGGTGGAGGCAGGGTCCCCGAACTGGCAGTCTACGCCAGAGACCGGCCTCAAGCAGGTGGGGGCAGAGGAACCACGAGTGCCAGTGTCCCCCAAACATCTAGAAACAGACTGCATGTGGGCAGAGCCTAGGACATTTCGGGAGGATGAAAGACGCAGGCAGAAGGGACACCGTGAAAGGCAAAAAACAAGCTCAATGGCCATTCGGGGTGGAAACAATTTCTCCTCTTTTTCCCGAATTCCAGCTGCAGCACTTACTCCCTGCCTGACCTCAGGTGAGTTAGTGAATCTCTCTAAACGAACCCCCTATGGTTCCGGCAAGGAATAGACACGAAGACACCTGTCCGTCAGTGTGCCAGGCACCGAACAAACGTTCAGTAAACGTTGGCCATAATTGCTATTTCGAGTTTCCTTGCCCAATGGAGCTCATCTGTTTTTATTCTCCATTTTCCTCTTCCAAAAGCTCTCTTCGTCCCCACCTCTACCCGCAATTCTCAAGGGTTCACGTCCTAAACTAGTTTTTGCATTCCAAGCTCGCCGCCCTCCGAAACCGGCCGGATTCCTGGGAAACACGAGCACACAGGCTCGCGCGGCTGGTACCTTCACGATGACCGCTTTGCGTCCGGAGTAGCGTCCGGCCAGGACCAGCACCACCTTCCCGGGTTTCATAAACTTGCCCATTTCTGCAGAGAGGTACAAGGAGCCACTCAGAAATTCGCAAGCCCAAGCTGCGTGCGGGGCCGGAGCTTTAGGCTGCGCTTACTGCCGTCTTGGCCCAGGCCCCGCGGGCCCTGCTCACAGGACAGGATCCTCTACGAAGCCGCCAGAGACCGAGGAACAGAGCGTACTCGGCAAAGTCCCACAACTCGACCCCCCGCCCGCGGATGGCGGCAGATTGGAAGACCCTCCCCTACTCCCCACTCACCTACAGCAGCCACTAGGGCCTAGAGCAGAAAGGAAAGAAACACACTTCCGCTAACCTTTCACCCCGGGGATGTGATCTCACTTCCGGTGCTGCCTCGTAAGTTTCGATCCGCCTAACGCGCGTCGTTCAGATTATGGGTTGCTGGCGGAAGAAACCCTTGTGGGAAAGCAAGTCCTGGCCTCTTATTTATTCAATCAAACTTTATCAGCAGATCCACCAGTAGCAAAGAGCCAGCAGTGCTGTCTTTCGCGTACGGATGCAAGAGCTTGGAAGGCTAGTATGTATGCTCTCAGGCTTTTGAGTCAGCGGCTCCGCCGCCCCCTTGGTTGTAGTTCGTTTCTGTGGCGCTAGGAGGGGACACAGTTTAAGATTTACTTGCCTCCTCTGGAGGAGTCAGGGAACCAAATGGGACATTTCTTAGTGCCCACCTGTGAACGGTTATTAGGCCTAAGGAGGGAGAGACGAACATCAGTCAAACAAGAGTATTGTTCCCAACAGTGCAACAGTGCCGTCATGTTCGACACTCCAGGCTAGAATAAGCAGTGGAGGAGAAGGACGATGCTGCTTACCTGGTGTTAAGTCGAGTTAATCTTTTTACGTATATTATTTCATTGATCCTCCTAACAACACTAGGAGATGGGTACTATTATCTCCATGCTAAAGTTGAAACTGTGGCTTAGGGAAATTAATTTGCCCAAAGTCCACAGCTAGTAAGCGATGGAACTGGGACACAGACGCAGGCGGTCCTTCTGAGCCTGTTTACCCTGTTACCGAAGTGAGCACCCACTCTATGCTGGTTAAGTCGACAGCCTATTTAATTCTCACAACTCTGCTTCTTGGATATTTTCTTCCTGTTGAGACATGAGGATACTGAGATTCAGAAAGGATAATTTATTTTTCTGAGGATAAGCCTAATCAACAGAGTCAAATCTAGGATTGAACTCAGATATATTTGGCTCTCAAATGGAATTTCTACTATTTACTGCGAGTGTTTTTTAGATGGTTCTTTAGGTGCCTTCTGAGTGCAAAAGAAAAAGAAACTATCTTACAGTGTTTGCTCATCTCAACATTGAAAAATCTGTAAGATTGGTCTTGGGCAAGATGTGGGACTGATCAGGTTCACCAGTTCTCTTCTTGAGGTTCTTCAGGGACCAATTTCGCCCTGCAGCCCTCAGAACACCATTGCAATGGTTTTTGACCCTAATTATGTACTTATATTTCTACATTCAGTTAAAATACTTGCTACTTTAATTTGGAATATGACATTTTAGAGTTGGAAAGGACCTGAGAGGTCATCTATTTTGTCCTCGAAAAGATAACAGTTCTACAGCACCAAAGTCACAGAATTGGTCACACACAGCAAGGTCTCCCCATTCTCAACCCAGTGCCCTTCCCACTACCATACACTACCCTGTCCATTTCTACTTCTGTGGTCTTCTCCTGGCCTTCTTATCTGCTTCTGTCTCTTGCTCCCTTGGAAATACAGACCAAACCCCGAAATCTTATAATTGCCTAATTCTTTTCACAGACACTCTGCCCATCAAATCAGTAACTAAACCCTGTGAATTTTGCCTTGTCTTTTAAGTGTTTTTCCTCTTCTTTTCAACCTAACTGCTCCCTAACTGATCCAGCCTGTTTTTTTTTTCTTCTCCAGTCCCTCCCCAAACTTTTATGTGGGTCAGAATTGCTTGGGGTGCTTATCACAGATGCATCTCTAACCCAGAGATTCCAATTCAGGCCTGGAGCGGGTCCACATGATGTGTGTATCTTATTTTTGAGGAGCTTCTCTAAATGCAGCTCTCAAGTCCACCACTTACCTGCCTGAAACACTTCGTTGGCTCTTAGTACCAAAGTTTGAACACTCCTTTCCTTAAGCGTAAGATCCTGACTCCTCCATACCCTTCCTGTACCCCTTGGGTTCCATCCAGCTCAACTACTCAGAAATGCAAGCTCTTCTGAGCCCTGGGGTCTTTACTCCGGCTGCTGCGAGTATCTTTTTATCCTCCTCTACTATGTGTAGCCAGGCAACATCCTGTACACCCTTCAGGACCACTTCAAAATTCTCACAGGCAGAATTAATCTCACCCTTCTCTGTGTTCCCTCGGCAATCTAATCTGTACTTATCTTTATTATAGAACATATCTTAGTTGGTTTGGATCAATGGTTCTCAAAGCTTGGTCCCCAGATTAGTAGCAGCAACAAAACCTGGGAACTTACTGAAAATGTGAATTCTCAGGCCCCATTCCAGAGCTACTGAATAAAACACTCTGGGGATGGGACCCCACAATTCGTGTTCTAATAAGCCACCCACGTCTCTGTTTGGCTTGGTATCTCCTTAGCTAGATGTATGTTCTTTGAAAGCAGGGAGTTTTTCTTGTCTATTTCCTCAGCATCTAGCCTGGCCCAGGCCGTTGGTAGGCACTCAATAATGAATAAATGCAGAGCACCTTAGAAATCTTTGTAACAGACCCAGCACTCTGATTGGATACACACCCATGGCCCTTTTTCATCTTACACTTGCACATCCTTAGACTGGCTGGCTGTTTTCCTCTCCTCCCTTGTCCTGTCTGCCTCACCCCAAGCCAAGGGCAGAGCTCTGTCCTGATATAATGCAGATGGTACCAGTGAGTAGCGGGTACCTGCTGGGATGCTGGTGGGACTGTGTCCACACGTCTTCGCTTCACGCAGGACCTGGCGGAGCAGTGAGTGTCTGCCCATCTCCCTGCAGCCTAGTTCTTTGGCAGCTGACATTTCTGGCAAATATGTGGAAAATATCTTCTCTTCCCTGAAGTGAGGGTGTGGACAAAGGAGAGAGAGAAACAAAAGATCCAGAAGCAGCGTGATTCAGTGAGGTAACATGATAGTATATGAACTGGACTGGAAGGTGTGGACTCAGGCAACTCGAATTCCAGTCCCAGCTCTTTTGTCCAGGTAGACCTGGACAAAACATTCAGCCTTTCTACAGCTCTTCTTCCTTGGCTATAAGATAGAGATGAAGCCCTGGCTGGTGTAGCTCAGTGGACTGAGCACGGGCCTGTGAACCAGAGAATCATGGTTCGATTCCCAGTCAGGGCACATGCCTGGGTTGCAGGCAGATTCCCTGCAGGCCAGTTCCCTGCAGGGGATGCACTAGAGGCAACCATACATTGATGTTTCTCTCCCTCTCTCCTTCCCCTCTTTATTTATTTATCTTTAAAGTCTTTAAAAAAAAACGGTATTAAAAAAAAATAAGATGGAGATGACCAGGTCCTGCCTTACAAGTAGTGAGAGTTACAGCAGGATGGCACACACAAAAATTATCCCCACAATGCTAGTGCAAGGCCTTAACATAGACTAGTTTTTGAGGATTAGAAAAAGATAATATTGGGGTGATACAGGGCTATACGAGTTATTACCCACCCTGTATCCAGACAAATGGGTTTAAAAGTGCCAGTTCCAAAAGTGGCAAGTGTGACGTCTGCCGCGGGGATGGAAGTGCAGGCCTGGGTGAGACGGGATGATAAAGGGCACTTTTTAGTGAATTTATTCAGGGGGGAAAAAGCCACCAACAAAGCTGAGTGGATCCAGGGCAGAGGGCAGAGAAAAGGCAGAAGGGCCAGGAGCCAGACACAGTTCAAGGAAATGATCTCACTCAGACGGGCAGATAATGCCCAGACCAACCTACAGATCAAAGCCAAGGATCTAAGATCTTTAGAGAATCTATACAAAATACTAGATTTGTTAGCAACCACAGATATATAATTTTCCGTAATATTTACATTTATTCTGCTTCACACAGAAAAACTAATTCTAATAAATTTTCAACAATACATCTTAATGTTGCTGAAAAAAAATTAAGTTAAAATGCACCAAATAACGGTGCACAGGTAAAGTGCAGCTGGCAATTTAACACATGAAACATGCTGAATCAGTAGTGCTGGGAGCCTGCTGGGTTTCCGAAAACGTGGTAACACTCTGCCCGACTCTGGTCGGTCCTGGAGTAGTATGTAGGCTGAATGGCAAACGTGAGCTAAAACGGCTGACACGCTGAGGACCGAATGGGACTGCTCTAGAGTCGGTTTTACGATGAAGTGCTCAGCCCCTCCCTTGTCCATCAGCAGCCACGTGTCATGTTCCCACCCCTGCTGCAGTGCTTAACACACGACCAGACCTCCATCATCCAGCCTCCAGGACAAAGGGAGTCTCCGCCCAGGAGGGAGGCACTGCTGGTCACTGATGTGTTTTCCTAGCCACACCTGACTCGGTGGCAAGGGTTCTCTTGAGAAGTACACCTCTAATGCATCTGCTCCTGAGAAGCCTGCCAGCGTCTCGTTAGGAGGTGCACAGAGGAAAGATCACCTGCCACAAACACGGTACCAGGTGGTGGATGTCCTTCCTTGTAAACCCTCCTGAAACCGCACCACTGTCGTTGTCTGTGCCGTGAGAGGGGGACCACCTCATTAGGAGCAGACTTCGGTTCTTACCTCCGTATGAAAAAGGGCTCATTAAAATTAACTGGTGGTTAACGCTCTTAGAAATGCTATTCTCCTAATATTCCCACATTGCTGGCTTTAGAGGCAGCTACGGAATATACATACACAGCCTCTCCTGACCCTGGCCCCCAACTTGATTTATAGGAACCTCAATTCAAATGTCTTCCCAGACCAAAAACTCACTCATGTCGTCGTCCCTTACCATCATTAAGAGAATGGTTAGAGAAACCTGGACTTTCTAAAAGTCGGACTTGGCATCGGGAGTTGGTGCATTAACAGTATGCCAGGACTGATTTCTTTTGTATAGGCTCAAATACATGTGCAACATGTACACTGTGGTTACACACCAGGGAAGGACCTTTATATAAGAGAGTCTCAGAATTTCTTTCTGAGATGCCAAGCTAGCAGGGAAGGCAGACTTGGCAGTCATCTGGCCAGAGAGAACATCTTTAACTGTTCCTCCTGCTCTCTCCTCCTATCTCAGAAGCCTAACCATCTGTCTTTATTGAGCAAGGTGCTGGGGCAGGGCCAGGGCATGCTCATCAAAAGGCGTCTTTGATGTTTTTGAGCTGGCGCACAGCCAGGTCGACAGGGAGGCTGAACTTGAGGCTACTAAGGCGACTAAGCAGGTTGAGGGCACTCTCAAAACCTGTGTGCGCCATGTAGCTCCAGGGCTGGTAGTGTGGCTCAATGAGTGAGCCCGACTTGCAGATGAGGTTCACCCAGGACACGAGACGCTGCTCATTCAGTGCCATGCACACCAAGGCCTTCAACTCTGAGTCTGCGCTGCACTTAAAGGGGTCATGTTCTGTCAGCACCATGTGGATGGCTGTCAGGAGGCTCTGCTTGGGGGTCACAACAGAGCCTCCTGTAACAGGCAGCGCAAAGGACTGGGAGAGCTTCCGGGCTGGGGATTCCACAAAAGCACGGCCGTTCTTAGCGTGGTAGTACTTCACGAAGAGCTCCCAGGGATGCATGGCCTCGGGGGCCGAGGAGAAGGCTGGCAGCAGACAAGCAATGGGGGCCAAGACGAGGCTCATCCCCGGGGAGGAGGCGTACAGTCCGTGGGCCAGCAGGTCCCTGATGGCCACTGTCAGCTCCTTCCGCACTGCCATAGTCAGCTCGTCTTTGCCTCCCAGAGAGAGGTTCTGGAGGTTGGCAGAGGTGATTACATGGTCGTGCGGCTGATGCCTTAAGGCTAGCTGCTTCACTCTGTCTACGGACACCTCCAGCCTCTTCAGTAAGGGGGTATAGTCCCTGTCAGCCTGGCCCCTTGGCCACAGGCTCTGTGGGATCTGGCCCGTGGTGCAACCAAACTGGCTGACAGCAAACATCTGGAGCACTGCCAGCGCCCGCCGCATCAGGTGCAGCCCCGTCTCCTGAACTCTCTTCACGTCTTCTGCCTTTGCTGTTTGGAGAGCACAAAGACACATCAGTTAGGGCCATGGTGATACAGGGGTCCATTCAACAAGTCCTGAGTTGGAGTCAAGTCTTGCTTTTGAGCTATGTATGGGTCCCACATAAAGCCAACAGCCAATCGGGATGTCACTGGACTTACTCTTTTCGGTTAAGGATACCACTGAACTTCTCTTTTTTCTGCTGATAACAGCTATACTAAAATACAATTCACATACCAAACAATTCACCTATTTAAAGTGTACAATTCAGTGGTTTTTGTGTACTCAGAGTTGTGTAACCATCATCCCAAAAAGATACTGTGTACCATTAGCGTTTCCCATTCCCCACTTCTTCCCAACCAGCCCCCGCCCCCCAGCCTTAGGCAACCACAAATCCACCTTCTGTCTCTAGAGTTGCCTACTCTGAAAGCTGTACTTACCTGTGCTGTTTCCGGAAGGCAGTCTGTTGCTGCCAGTTCTGGTGGAGCCATTTCCTGTCTTCCCACTGGCCTTGCACTCACAGTGCCCACTGTCTGCCTGCAGTGGGCTTCCCACTTCATCTGGAATCAGAAGTTCCAAAGAGAAGATACTTCTTTAGCCTCTTGATGGCAGATTTAAAAAAATTAATTTAGACCGAGGGGAAGGGAGAGAGAAAAACATCAATGTGTGGTTGTCTCTCATGTGCCCCCTACTGGGGACCTGGCCCACAACCCAGGCATGTGCCCTGACTGGGAACTGAACTGGTGACCCTTTGGTTCACAGCCCACGCTTAATCCCCTGAGCTACATCAGCCAGGGCAGGGCTTGATGGCAGAGTTTTAAAGGAAGAATATTTACTAATGCCTACTACGAGACAAGACTTACACATGTATCTTATTTAATTGTGTAGAACAGTGACTGGCATATAGTAGTTGGCTCAATAAATATTTGCTGAGTGAAGGAAGCATGAATCATTTCATGGGTGAGAAGGGTGGGACTAACGAGGTTAGGAACCTGCCCGAAGATATGCAGTCAGTAAATGGCAGAGCTGGGATTTCACTATCTGGTTCTAAAGTCCATGTTCTTCCTACTCTACTATGCTGGCTCCATTATTAGTGATCAGATCTCTTAAATAGTACATCAAGACTGGCACCTTTAGGTATCAGTACGTATAGTACATAGAATTATCACAGCATCTGTCCACCCTCCTCTGACCTTGGATGAAACTGATGAACATCTCGAGGTCTCGGATCTGAGTTTTCAGCTGCTCAACCAACTGTTCTTTCACTCGGGCCGGGTTTACGATCTGAGCCACAGCTGCATCCACACGCTGCCGAAGCTCTTCAGTGGACAGTGCGCTGATGTCCTCATTCAGATTCATGTCCAGTTTCTTTATTAACTCATCTATGATCACCTATCAAGACCACAAGCAATGAGCACACCCTTTGGAATTTTTGGAGAGAAGATTAGGAAGAAGGAGAATCTTTATTAGCACACCTTCTATATTTAAATAGAAATCGAAGACATAGATAGCTCCCAAATTTGTGAGACAACTGCTGATCGAGGCAAGGAGACACAGCTCCTCTCACTGCAGATGTCCCACCAGGCCGGGCGACCTTTACTTGGGGGACCAACAGTGTGAATAACCCCAAATGGCTGATGACCCAAGAAGCCTCATATCGGCCTCCCCCAAGGTCCCCAAGAGAATAAATACTGGTTTCTTTTAGTTTCTGGCCTCTCTTCCCTGCTTGTCCTATTCTAGGCAACAAAAGAAAAATATTTACAAAACATCAGTGTACATTACAGTCAAAATATCCTAGTGACAATACTAAGAACAATGAAACCTATGAAATGTAACTCCCACCAGAGACGCAGCCACATCACAGAGAGACACAAACATGTAGGGGAGGCTATAGCTGTATTTCTTTCTTTTAAATATTTTGTACTTTCTTTTTTTTTGAAAACTTCATTTATTTTTAGAGAGCGTGGTGGAGAGAGAAAGAGTGGGAGAGACATTGATGTGTGAGGGAAACATCAACCAGTTGCCTCTTATAGGCCCCCAACTGGGGAGCTGGTCTGCAACCCAGGCATGTGCCCTGCCTAGGAATTGAACTAGCAACTTTTTGGTTCACAGGCCAGTGCTCGATCCACTGAGCCATACCAGCCAGGGCTGTAGCTGTATTTCTACCAGCAGATTTACTTGTTTACCCAGATGTTGCTTAAATACAGCATTAAAGTCAGTCTGGATTCCTGGTATATTTATCAACTGGTTGTGGGGAAAAAAACTAGTTTATATTGTATAACGTGCTCAAGTAGAACTGTTTTAATGATCAAATGAAAGTATTACTATTATTATATATCATTACTAGTATTATTAATAATAACCAACAAAAAGATTTAGCCCAATCATCATATTATAAGGCTTTGGAACTTGTGTTTCCACGTGTGAATAAAGACTGGTCCCATGTAACGGTAATTCTCCCTTTGATTTAAGCCAGTGAAGGGATTCTCACAAGGCCCCAGGCAGACGAGCTAGGGAAGAACAAATACTGGAAGGAGCCAGGTGACCTTAGGTGAGGGAGAAGCGCCCCTGCCAGCTGCTTACCCGCTGCCTTTCCAAGACCATGGACTGCGGCAGGGAATCGTAGCTGCCCTCCTGGTAGGCGAACGTCTCCAGGTCGTCCAGCTGGGTTTTGAGCTGCAGTATCAGTTCCTTCTGCTTCTCCCTTTGGGTTTCCAGACGTTCCCGTTTCTCCTGCTCACTCTAAGACGAGAAAAGACTTAAGTGTATTTTACAGGGAAAGAAAAATTCAGGGCTCATCAAGAAACCTCTAAAGCCAATAAAGACTAACAAAATGTAAAAGGTTTCCAAATAATCCAGGTGAAATATGGAATTTTTAAAATAGGCTCAAAAATAACAATTTCATACAGGGAAATTTATTAACTTTGTGTTTTCTTTAAGAAAGTATGTGTCCCTCATTGGAAACGGGATATGAATACAATAGGGCCTTTTGTTAAGATTGCTGCCCCCCACCCCCAGAGGTCTAGTTAGGGTTGAGACAGTTTATCTTAGACAAGGAAGCCTCCCAGGGACTAGCCCGGCCGTCCTCCATAGCCAATTACCACAGAAAAACTCCTGAAAATTTTGTGCAGGGGATATGGAATTAAGTTTGTAGAGGAAGGCTTGATAACTTATACCCAGTTTTTTAGATTTAAAGCCCCTCCAATGTATTACAGATGTCTGCAAAATCAAAAGAATAAACGCAGATACCTGGGGCAAGGAAAAAAAAATCCAAAGCCAAGTGATGGGGGTGGGAAGAAGGGAATTTTTGTTGTTGTTTTTTTAAATGTTTGGTAAGTTACTCTAAGCAGTGACTCTTTTTCCCACTGTGGGCCACCAGGCAGTTTCTGCATTTAAATTATTAAAATCCCTTCAGGGTAGTAAAATCTTGCCAATATATACTCAAACATGGGTTCTTCCACACCTTTCTTGAGTATCAAAACAAAGCAAACCCAGCAAATCATGTAGGCATTGGCTACATTTTAAATACAAAATCTACAGGATATTAAATTTAACCTTAAGATGGTACTTACCAAGCCCTCCAGAAGTAAGGTATGAGAGAGAACAAATGGAAAATAACAAATTAACTTTTTGTCCAAATTATTTAAAAAGCAATGCTCTTGTTTACCTTTATTCAACATGGAAGCAAGCCTTTTCTCAGGCTACTCCTCCAATGCTTTCTGAGTGTTGTGATTTTGTTAGAATCTTGTTCCTTTTCCTGTCTTAACGCGGGCCTAGCTGTCCTTTCTGAGAAGGTTTCCTTGATTTCCCCAGGCAGAGCTGATCATTTCCTTCTCTGCTATATTTTGTACACGCTTCCACCTTAGCTCAGGTCGCATTATAGTCATTTATTTAGGGTTCTGTCTCCTCCAGTCTATGAACTCCTTACAGGCAAAGGCTTTGACTCTGTACCTTCCGGGCCTAGCACAGGTAAGTGCTCAATACAAGTTTGGTTTCTGCTACTGAATCAGGCACAGAAGGACACATTCTAAACACAACAGTCCCCCTTTATCAGCGGTTTCACTTTCCGTGGTTTTGGTTATCTGCAGTCAACTGATGTCTAAAAATATTACATAGAAAATTCCAGAAGTAAACTCAAAGGTTTTAAACTGTGCACCATTCTGAGAAGCATTATGAAATCTTGAGCCAAATCACCCCTCTGCCCAGAGTGTTCAGGCATCCACGCTGCACCCACAGCCCACCCACCAGTCAGCAGCCATTCTGGTCACCAGGTGGGGTTGGTTTTCTCTTTGTGTTTTCTTTCTGCAGCGTATTGTTTGTTTATGTTTTGTAAAAACCAAATTAAGTTGGAAGAAAGCTACATGTGGGCTGTAGCCTGAAGAATAAAAAGGTAAAGAAAAGACAGGGAGTCTCTTCAACACCGATCTATAAACGCACACGTCCAGAGACTTAAAGACTGTAAGGCAATGCTTCCTTGGTGTGGCATCCAGATTCTCCCAAGTTCCCGAGGTTGGCTAATTGAATGAATCTTGCCAGTTACCAAAGGAACCTCATTTGGAATGCCTAGTTATTAAGCAGAACGTGGAAGGAGTTTTGAAATACCAGCATTGGAAAATTCAGGAGTCGTTTCTTTTTAATTGCTTAGATCCTCTGCTATTCACCAAAGCTCTCAATCACACAAGTCTAAAGATGAAAGATTCTCTCTATTCCAGAAAAGCACGACAGAGCAGATCTAAATTTCTATGCTTTCCAATTAACTTGCTCTTCACCAGCCGATTTTCCCAACCCCCAGGGTCGGGGCATTCTATCAGCAAATGTGCCAGGACTTAAGTACTTGGTAAGGTGAGCGGGAACAGCATTGTTTTGGTTGCTTGCTCTACTGCCCTCTGAATACTCTTTGCTTACTGCTCCTCTGCCCTTTACGTCATTATACCTTCGATGGACATCTCCTTCCCATGCTTCTCAGTCCTTCTGCCCTTCAGCGGGCTCCTCACACCTGTCTCAATCTTCTCGACCCGGACGCGCTTACTCACCTAGACAGGTAGGCTTTGGACCACTACTACCTCCACCATCATCAGCATCGCCGTCCACCCACCCAATCCCTCCTATTCCCATATCCCTCGGGGCCCGGCCCCAGGTGCTCACCTGGTCCTCGCCCCGCAACTGCGGCCGGTTCCCCGGCAGCACGTCGCCCTCGTCGCTGGTGGGATCCTCGGGCCCCCAGTATCCCAGGACATGCGGGCAACCGCGAAAGGCAAAGTCTTCGAGCTCGCGCAGGAGGCGCTGCTGCTCCGCCGGCGCCCCACGCACCACCTGGCGCAAGCGGAACTGCACCTGCGCGAAGTGCGAGGACAGCGCGAGCAGCGCGGAGTCCAGCCGCCGCCGCTCAGCCCGCAGCCGCCGCAGTGTCCGGCCGGGCGAGTCGGGAGGGGAGCCCGGGGTCGCGCTGGGATCCTCGGTAGCCGCCTCTTCTGAGAACGCAGTAGTCCCAGGACCGGCCTCCGCCACCGCCCCCACCGGGGCCCAGCGCACCGCCTCGCACGGTGGCAGTGACTCCTCTTCTTCCTCCTCTTCGTCCTTTGCCTTTGGTCCAGCCGCCGCCACCACCGTTACCGGTTCCTCAGCTACTTCGACAGTCGCCATCTTCCCGGAAACGCCCCGCACGTCAGCCGCGCCCCCTTGCTGCCTTGGCAACGGCGCGTGGGCTGGGAACCCCCAGAGCGGGTGGGCGGGGCTCAGGTGTCACCGAGTTTATACGTCACGGAGGGCGGACCTTCCCCGAAGATTTAATTCAGGCCAATAATTTTGTATTGAACTCTGTATGAATTCTGTATTGTGAATCAGGCACTGGATATACTAAGCGTTAGAGAAACAGGTGGTTGAAGCCGGGGTCGAGTCATTCCATGCGTATCTAATGTAGTGTAGCCCCTGCCCTGGTTCCGGAGGGCGGGTTGTCTCATCCTAAATGTGCGCATTTCTGGAGACTCGGACATGTGAAGGGCTGCAGGGGTAATGCTGTCCTAAAGTCTCTCCGGACTGCAGCTCCCTTGGTTATAAGGCCACGTTTTCTCGGCCTCTAAAACCTTCCCCGACCATATAAGGAGAGGCAGCTGCTGGGGGCGTCACCAGGATCTAAAGATAGCGACCCCTGCCTCGGGTGCCAAACGCCACTGGGCAGCGGAGCCACCATGGCACGGTGAGTGTTTCTGGTAGCCTTTTCTCCTTTAGATTTATTCCTTGCCCCACGTTTTCTGGACGCAAGAGGTTCTTCGAGGTTCTAATGGGAATCCCAGATCCCAGGTCTCTATAACTTTGGGGTGGTTAGAGGTGTGTGCCCTGAGTGGGTATCAAACTGGCCACCCTGAGGTTTGATACCCGGTCAGGGCACAAGCCTGGGTTGCCGGCCAGGTCCCCACATCGGGGTGTGCAAGAGGCAACCACATATTGATGTTTCTCTCCCTCCCTTCCCCTCCGTTCAAAAAAAAAAAAAAAAAAAAGGCGGAGGGGAGGGTGGTGCTGTAACCAACTGAACTGCCTAGCCAAGGTCCACTCTACTTCAACGCTTTTGATTCTCCCCAGATTCACCCTTGCCACACATACCCATTCCCATCACCCTCCTCCCACCTCCTCTTGTTTCATTTAGCTCCATTTTGACAGGGCTGTGGCATAAAACATCCCATATCTTCCCCTCCTCTCATCTTTCCCAAATGCTGTCAGTCTTCCCTCTCCCACCCCTACGAAGCCCCACCTCAACTCCTCTTCAGGCAGCAGGCCCGGACCCTGTGGTATGACAGGCCCAAGTATGTGTTCATGGAGTTTTGTGTTGAGGACAGCACCGATGTCCACGTGCTCATTGAAGACCACCGCATTGTGTTCAGGTAACGGCCCTCTGCTCTGCAGAACCCGGTTTCCCGGGAACATTTCCCTTCTCCTAATGCCCCCACACTCCCTCCTGCATCTCCTCAGCTGCACTGTCTCCTCAGCTGCAGGAATGCTGATGGAGTGGAGTTGTACAATGAGATTGAGTTCTATGCCAAGGTGAACTCCAAGGTAAGCATGGGGTGGGACAGTAAGGTTTGGATGGGAAGCCTGCCTGGAAAAATCGGAGGTTGATTCTAAACTTCAGACCCTCAGAATGAGCCTCTCTATCTGGCAGGACTCTCAGGATAAACGCTCTGGCCGCTCCATTACCTGCTTTGTGAGGAAATGGAAGGAGAAAGTGGCCTGGCCCCGGCTCACCAAGGAGGATATCAAGGTAGGGAGTGGCCTGCTCTTTCTCCTGTGCTCTCTGCCCATGGAGGCAGGTGCCCAAGTTAGGTCTGGGAATCTCCGTAGCCTCCTTTCCCCACCAACATTTAGTCCCTCGCTGGGGTCCTGACTCTTTGACTTCCTGGTAATATCAAATCCATTCCTTTATCTCTTCCTAATTCATGCCTCATGCATCACTGGGTGGAATTTGTTGTGTATTTTTAGCCCACCCCCGATCTGTGTAATGCATTGCTCCCATTATGGTCTGTCTGAAACACACATTTGACTGTCAAACCCTTCCCGAAGATTCTGCGGTGTCTTCTTTTCTCCTAAAGGCTGCAAATAGTCTGTCTACTAGTTGGATCTGGCTCTCAAATTTATTTTAGTACTCTTCAAAGTATTAAACATTACTTTGTCTGGTTACTGATATTTAGGATCTTTGATTAGTTGCTGACACATGAAAATGTGGAGATTTCACCTACAAATCCAGATTATTAGCTTCTCTTGAAAAATGGAGATTTTGGCCACACTGGTTTAAAACTCCCAAGTGCCTGGAGTGAGAGCTTTAAATGGGACATGTGGTCCAACTCACTTTACTGCTTTTCATTATCTTCCTGACTCTTTCAGGCATTTGAGCTCATAACTTCTGCCCTTTAGGTTGAAGTCCAAGCACCATAGCATGACATATAAGATCATGCCCTAGCTATTCCTCCCACTGTAGTCTTACATCCCTTTACTCTCTGCCTCAAACTTCACCTTCCAGCCACAGCAAGCTGCTTGAAGCTCTTTTGCACATATCAGGCTTTGTATCATTGCTCAAGCTGAGCCTTCTTCCTGGAAAGCCTCCATCACCACTACCTTCTCCCACCCAACCCCCACTCATCCTTCAAGGTTACATGACTCCAAGATGCCTGGATTCCCAAAATATCCTTGTACAACCTACCACCGCTCTTCCCACATTGTATTATAATGATTCACTTACATGTCCCCTTTCTACTTGCTTCTCGATGGCTGAGACTAGGCATTAAACATTTTTGTGATCCCAATGCCAATCTCAGAGTCTGGCCCATTGTATGTGTTCAATAAATGTCCGTTAAATGAATGACTTCTCTGTCTGTCTAAGTGCGGAACTTGGAACATGGGCCTCGAAGGGCTGTCCCTGTCTTGCTTGGTTGACTCTGTGATACTTTATGACAGTTATATTTCCAGGTGTGTTATTTCCCTGGTCCACCTGCTTTTGGAGGGCAGTGTTTCTGTGCTTTTCCATACTATGCCTGGCATTGTGCTTAACAGGTTCTTGGTAAATCTGTATGGATGGTGATGCTGACGTGGCAGTCTGAGGTGGGGTTAGTCAGAGGGGTGCTGTTAGGAAGACTGCTCCCACTGACCTTCTTCCCCAAGTGTACTCCTGTGCACACAACCGCACTTCTTTATGTATGTTTGCTGCCCTCCTGGCCCGTGACTGTCCGCGCTTCTCCTTGCAGCCAGTGTGGTTGTCTGTGGACTTTGATAACTGGAGAGACTGGGAAGGGGATGAAGAGGTGGAGCTGGCTCAGGTGGAACATTATGCAGAGGTAATGCCGTTTTGTGCCCGTCTTGATCACTTTCTGTGTCCCTCCCTGTACACATTCTATGGAGGATTGTCATCGGGGCTAGGCAGAAATACGTGAGCTCCCCAGACCGGCTGCTCATTGGTGCTGATATTCTTTATGTTTTTTTATGCAATGTTTATTTAGTAGGGATGGGAGAAATAAATATTCTATTAGTGAAACTGTATACATAGACTCACTCACTATTCATAGAGTATAGCCTGTGTTCTGAAAAGTTTGGCTAAACCTTTTTCTCTTCTTCTGTAACTTTTGTTCTCTATTGTCTGTGTTGTATGTGTGCATTTTCTTGAGTCAGACAACTTCGTGGGAAGCTCAAACTAAGCAGCAGCATAAAATTCACATTAAAAGTCACTATTTCCCAATAAATTGCACCCTACCATGTGTTATTTGGTTTCAGAATTTCAGCACCAGTTATTTAAGTTGCAAAAACACTCGCAGATCCTGACTTGGATTAGTAAGGAGGGTGCTCTGTGTGTGTGTTTAAATTTCCTTTTAAAAAAGAAAGTCAATGTACTCTTTTCTCTAATTGATCCCCCTGATGTGTTGGGGGCTTTAAAGATAGGGCAGTTGTCTGGCTGGGGCTGTTCTTCTAGGGTCTATCAGTATGCAGGTTGCTCTTCTTTCTTGTGACCACTTTTCTCTTCCCACTAGCTTCTGAACAAGGTCCAAGTCAAGAGACCTCCCCCTGCCATGGATGATCTGGATGTAAGTAAAGCCTGCCTCTCAACCCTTCAGTTTCCCTTTTGCCCTTAAAAATAAGACGCTAGGAAGCTCCTGTCTCTGTTCCTAGCACACAGTAGTTCTTAGAGCGTGTTAGCCAAATTTGAATTTGACACAGGAGTCAAATACTTTCCAGGCTTGAAAACCCCAGCAAGACCCTCCTCACTTCTGTCTCTCCCTCTGCTTCTCCATCCTAGGACAGATCCGGCCCTGCTGACTACCTTTACAGCTGTACGGAGCAGTAGCATTAATTGAAATTCTGAAACTAAATGTTACATGACACAGTGCTATTCATTGAGTCCTAGTGATTTACTTTGTTTTCCAAAGTTTAAATCCTTCTGTATTAGCCTCCCAAGAAGTTATGTGACTCAGAACATCACAAAAGCAAATGGAGAGCACAAGGGAGTGAGCAGTGTTTATGAACACAAATGTTCACTCTTTGCATACTCTACAGGTGCTTTTGTCTTTTTCTTTTTTCCCAGGATGATTCTGACAGTGCTGATGCAACAAATAATTAACTTCTGTGCAGCAGAGCTGGGGAGGATGTTGCAGCCATCGTCCAGTCATTCTGACAAGCCTGGCCCCTTGTCCAGCTCTTTGGCTGTGCACCAGTGTCCTCTGGGATCTCAGATCTTTCGTAGAAGCTCTTAATTAAGGGTCCTCCTATTTCTTTTTCCTAGGCACTTGACTATGGCTGCTGTATCTGATGGCAGAATAGCAAAGGAGTAGACTGGTGGTACTTCTGACTTCCTACCAATTGGCTGAAATCTCTGTGATCAGGCCATTCAGCAGGGCTGTCTCGAGTATTTGAGCATGTGTGTGTGTGGTAGAGCAGAAGCCAAAGAGGCAGCAGATGGTTTATAATAAATCCCTAGGAACTGGTCTGTTTCTTTCCTGCTTGTACTGCTACCTCCTGGAGATGGTGGAGGCAGGCTGTACCCACAGGGACAGGGCCTTCCTGATGCACAGATCTATGCTCTGGTTTTTCAGAGCAGAATCCAGCCTTTTGCTATGAGGCTCATACCGCCACCCCTAGCACCAGCCAGAAATGCGCCTCAGCTTCCTGCATACTCCAGAAATCTCTTTATATTTTTATTTACTTTATTTAGTCTTGAGAGGGAGGAAAAGGGAGAGAGAAAGAAGGGGAGAGAAACAACGTGTGAGAGAAACATTGATGGTTGCCTCTTGCATGCCCTGGCACCTGGCCCACAACCCAGGCATGTGCCCTGACCAGGAATCAAACCTGTGACCTTTATGTTCACAGTCCGGTACTCAACCCACAGAGCCACCACACCAGCCAGAAATCTTCATATTTTTAAAGCTGACACTAGTTTTTAAATTAGAAGGAAAACTGCTAATATACAGTTCTATTTGTATTATATTGTACAATTTACTATTTATTATCTCATTAAAATGTTTGAATTTCATATCAACCCTTTAACATAATTAGGTCTTTTCTTCATAGGTGATCAAAGAGGTCACAGTAAGTGTCAAAGTTGGGATTTGAATTTGTACAGCACATCCCCCATTCACAATTCTGAAAACTGACCAAAAAAAGACACCAAAGCTTATTTGGCAGCAACACATGACCTAAAATGATGCGAGGCTATTTGTAGTATGTTTTTCCATTTAGTGTATTTCTCAGCATAGATGTCAGAGAGTTTGATTACGTGATTTTGCTCCAGAGTTCCAACTGGAGTTTGTCAGGTAATATATGGAGTGTGCTCTCTCCATTACTACCTAAAAAATCCTAAATTCTGAAAAATTCTAAATTCTGAAACATCTGGAATTTTCAGGCTTCTTATTAGTTGATTTGAAAGAGCAGAAAGAAAGTTAATTTTAACTTTTAAATGCTTTAAAATTTTAAGGTATTGACTGCAGCTTGTTAGCTTCTTTATCTACATGGTCCAGTTTCGTAGCACTAGTCACACATTGTACTTGAAATGTGGCCAGTTTGAACTGAGATGTGAGTGTAAAATACACACCAGGTTTCGAAAATTTTGTATGGGGAAAAAACTTATTTTTATATACCTACTACATGATGAAAAATATTCTGGATACTTTGAGTTAAATAAAATATATTATTAACACATGTGGCTTGCATTACCTTTCTATTAGGCACGCTGCCTCCCAAGCCAGTACTATCACCACCGCTACGTAACATACATCCCCGGAGCCCAGTCGGTTAAACTCAGTGCCTTGACAAGTTCAGGACACAGTTTTGTCCTCTGGTCATTTTCATAGTCCTACAACAGTTGCTAAATAGCCCGGAATGTGTGCAAGTCGCGTTTTCAATAAATTTGTCCCAATCACACCCCATTGCTTGCTCTCTAGCTTCCGCGCAGAGACTGCCCCGTGATGAGAATTGTCCCCCTTCGGCATCCGTCCGCCCCTGACGTTACTGTGCGTACAGTCCCCGCGTCCCTGGGAGAAAACAGAGATGGCGTTCCGTTGTCAGCGTGACAGCTACGCCCGGGAGGTGCGGCGGGCTTGGCGAGGAACCTGATGCTGCTAAACAGATGGGGAGGTGCGGGAGGAGGGCGCCGTGTTGGAAGGACAGCCGAGCTAGATTCAGTCGGGTGTACCGAGGGCTGGGCTCGGGGCTCATTCGCTCGTGTCTCTGTTCAGTTCACCACCACCGTGGTGTCGTGCCGACCAGCGGAGCTGCAAATCGAAGGAAGCAACGGCAAGAAGGAAGTGCTGAGCGGGTTTCAAGTGGTGCTAGAAGACACGCTGCTTTTCCCTGAGGGTGGGGGACAGGTAACGGGCACCTCCTTTCCTCCTCCCCACACCCTTGAAGCCCCTACCCTTTCTGCACAGGTAGAAAATGGTCTCCTGCCCCTCCGTCCCCCAGCCGTTAATGAACACGTTGGAAGTTCAATTCACTTCATTTGCCCGTTCAGCAGATATTTATCAACAAATACTTACCTAGCTGTAACACATTCGGGTACTATTGCAGGCCCTAAGGATAAGGGCTTAGCAAAACAGTGCCTCTACATACACAGACTATTAGTATTTATTGGAGAGGACAGACAAAATTATTAATAGGTAAGTGCTATAAATAAAGTTAAAGCCTGAGGGAAAGAGAGTAATAGGATATTCTCCTTGGTAGGAGGCAACTTATTTAGGTAGCAACTTAAGAGAAGTGAGGGGGTAAGCCATTGTAAATGTCTAGTCATGCTGCTGGGGGAGGGGTGAGTACTCCAGGTAGCAGGAGTAGCAAGTGCAAAGGCCCTGAGGGAGGAATTAGCTTGGCGTTTGACAAGTACTAAAAATAATTCCCATGAGCAAGCATGACCCAGGGCAGATTTAGCAGAGCTATGACTGGGTAGCAGCAGGGTCCAGTGTGAACGTGGGAAAGGTGGATAACAACACCAAAGGTGGGCATTGAGGGAGAGGCTTTTCCAGCAGAGAAAACCGCGTAGATGGAGGCAGAGAAGCCTGAAAGAATGTGACAAGTCTGGGTAACTGCAAATAGTCAGATATGGTTGGAGTCTCCGGTGTGTGTAGATTGAGGAAGGGCTGGAGATGACCTTGAAATGGTAAGTGGTTCAGAGGTCCCTAAAGGATGTGTTAAGGTGTGTGGAGTTCACCCAGGAAGCTGTGGTAAGCCATGAAGGTACTTAGGCAGAGAAATGCCATGAGAGAACATGTTCGGTAAACTTGATAGTGACAAAGTCCCAGTTTCCTATCAGTGTCATCATTATTACAAGGATTTTCCCAACATGGAGGTTTTCTGACCTGCTGAAGAAAATTCACGACCTCTGGCAACCATAGAACATCTCATTTTATACACCACTTCTTTTAGGAAGTCTTCCTTGATTTCTTAAAACGTTTGGGTCTCACCCTGGCTGGTGTAGCTCAGTGGATTGAGCTCAGGCCTGTGAACCAAAGGATCGCGGTTTGATTCCTGGACAGGGCACATGCCTGGGTTGCAGGCCAGTGCCCAGCAGGGGATGCATGAGAGGCAACCATACATTGACATTTCTCTCCCTCTCCCCTTCCCCTCTAAAGATAAATAAATAAAATCTTAAAAAAAAAAAAAAGAGGGTTGGGTCTCTTTCCTTTGAGCTCCCAGAATCACTCCCTTTTTCATGTTGCAGCCTGTGGTAGATCGTATCGCAGTGACTTGTTCACATGTCCGGTCTGTTTGTCTCTAGACTCTGAAGCTCCACGAGGGATCAGGTCTTGTTTACGTTATATTTTTAGGCTGGCACAGTGACTTGTAAGCAGTAGGCATTTGATACATTTTTTAGATGAATGAATAGTGTAATTTTATTTTTTATTTTAATCCTTACTTGAGGATATGTTTTATTAATTTTTAGAGAGTGAGGAAGAGGGAAAGAGTGGGGGAGAAACATCAGCCGCTTGCCTCCTGTGACCTGGGTATGTGTCCTACCCAGGAGTTGAAACCGCAGCCTTTTGGTGTACGGGATGCCCCTCCAAGCAGCTGAGCCACACAGCCAGGGCTGGATGAATGTTTTTGAATCTGATTCTAGTAGCAGTGCAGAGAATTGAGTGGAGGGAAGGAGGAGAATTTGTATCATTTTAGAAGTTATTGAAAGATAAGGATCTAAACTAAGGGAATGAGAGTGAGGATTAAGGTTCTTTGGGTTTTACAGAAATCTTCCTGGTTGTAGTTACAATCTTTGTTTTAATCCTGGTACGCTGTTCTGTAGAACAGCATATAGGGGTTCAGAGTGAAGAGGATGGGACAGTTCCCTCATGGAACCAAGCGGAACCGCCTCACTTGGCATTCCATAGGGAATCTCTGGTTCCGGTTGTGTTTCTCACACACTCCCCTAGAGGATCTTTGTATTCAGGAATTGGGGTGAGCCCTGCCCTCCACCACGGATTATTCTTACTTCTTTTCCTCAGCCCGATGACCGTGGCACAATCAATGACGTCTCTGTGCTGAGAGTGACCCGCCGGGGGGCCGAGGCTGATCATTTCACACAGACACCCCTGACCCCTGGGACTGAGGTCCACATCCGCGTGGACTGGGAGCGGAGGTTCGACCACATGCAGCAGCATTCAGGTAGGTGCGGCGAACGTGGAGGGCAGGTGCTGTGTGTGGGGGGCGGGAGGGCACCACGATGATGGAAGTACGGGTTGGGTTCTCCGGGAGTTAGCCATTTGGAAAAGACAGACATTCAGAATCTGCTCCGATTGAGGCAGGGTACATTAGATGTTAGAAGAGCAATATGAGCAAAAGTAATCGAATAACGGCTGTATTTGAGTATTATTAACTTCCCACTTGGTATCTTTATCTGGATATCTCATAGGTTTCTTAAACTCAAAATGTCCAATATGGAATTAAAAAGTCGCTCAGCCTCGGTGACTTTTGACCAGCATGTGCTCTTGACCAGCGTGGCCTGTTTGGGTGTCATTCCTTGAGGCAAGAGGCTGCTCAGTGGTTCCATTCCTGGTCAGGGCACGTGCCTGGGTTGTGGGTTTGGTCCCTGGTCAGAGCGCATGGGAGAAGCACCTGATTGGTCTCTCTCTCACATCGATGTTTCTCTCCCTTTCTCCCTGCCATCCCCTCTCTCTAAAAATAAGTAAATCTTGAAAGAAAAAACAGTTGCCCACTCCCCCAAACCTAGTCTTCCTGTAGGGTTCTCTGTGCCCTGTGCAGGGCATTAGCATCCACCCAGTTGCCGAGATCCCAGAAGTTAGTGCAGACGCCTCTGTGGGGATCACAGTTGGTCGTGGAGTCCTGCTGGTTTCTTTTCTGAATGTGTCTCTGTTTCCTCCCACTGTCAGCGCCATCATCTCAGTCCCAGCTCTCACGGTCTTTCCCCAGATCTCTGTGACGGCCTCGTGGCTAGTCTCCCCACATTCAGTCTTCTTTGCAGCCTGTTCTTCACAAAAGAGCCCGGCAGTCTTTTAAAAGTTAAAATCTGGCTCTGGCTGGTGCGGCTCAGTGGTAGGAATGTTGTCCCATAACCTAAAGGTTGCAGGTCCAGTTCCAGGCCGGGGCACATGCCTGGGTTGAAGGTTCATCCCTGGTCTGGGCATGGGCAGGGGTGCATGCAGCCCTGGTCCGGACACCTACGACCCCTGGTCCTGGCACGGATCCCCATTCTGGGTGTGTGTGGAGGCATCTGATCGATGCTTCTCTCACATCAATGTTTCTTTCTCTCCCTTCTCTCTGAAAAGGCAAATAAAAAGTCCTTGGGTGAGGCTTAGAATAAAAAATTAAAATCTGATCATGTCACTCTCCCGCTTAAAGCTTTTCCAAGGCTTCCTGTTGCCCACGGTGAAGCTGCATTTGTCGCGGCCCCCAAGCCCTGCCTGTCTGCTGCCCCAGCCTCAGCTGGTGCCCCTCCCCCTCGCTCCCTGCCTCCTGGCCACACTGGCCTTTCTCTCTATTCCTTGA